AAGGCCATAAGTGAACAGGAAAACGCTCATCCAGAGGCAGCGCTCCTAGTGGCCGGGGACTTTAATGCAGGAAAACTTAAATCCGTTCTACCTAATTTCTACCAGCATGTTAAATGTGCAACCAGAGGAAAAAAAACTTTATACCACCTTTACTCCACACACATAGACGCATACAAAGTTCTCCTTCGCCCTCCATTTGGCAAATCTGACCATAACTCTATCCTCCTGATTCCTGCTTATTAGCAAAAACTAAAGCAGGAAGCAACAGTGACTCGGTTTATAAAAAAGTGGTCAGATGACGCAGATGCTAAGCAACAGGACTGTTTTGCTAGCAGAGACTGGAACATGTTCCGGGATTCTTCAGATAGCATTGAGGAGTACACCACATCAGTCACTGGCTTCATCAATAAGTGCATCGATGATGTCGTCCCCACAGTGACCGTACATACCCCAACCAAAAGCCATGGATTACAGGAAACATCCGCACTGAGCTAAAGGGTAGAGCTGCCGCTTTCAAGGAGCGGGACCCGGACGCTTATAAGAAATCCCGCTATGCCTCCGACGAACCATCAAACAGGCAAAGAGTCAATACAGGACTAAGATTGAATCGTACTACACCGGCTCTGACACTCGTCGGATGTGGCAGGGCTGGAAAACTATTACAGACTACAAAGGGAAGCACAGCCACGAGCTGCCCAGTGACACAAGACTTCCAGACGAGCTAAACCACTTCTATGCTCGCTTCGAGGCAAGCAACACTGAAGCATGCATTAGAGCACCAGCTGTTCCGGATGACTATGTGATCACGCTCTCCGTAGCCGATGTGAGTAAGACTTTTAATTAGGTCAACATTCAAAAGGCCGCAGGGCCAGACGGATTACCAGGACGTGTACTCCGAGCATGTGCTGACCAACTGGCAAATGTCTTCACTGACATTTTTAACATGTCCCTGACTGAGTCTGTAATACCAACATGTTTCAAGCAGACCACCATAGCCCCCTTGCAAAAGGACACTAAGATAACCTGCCTAAATGACTATCGACCCGTAGCACTGACATCTGTAGCCATGAAGTGCTTTGAAAGGCTGGTCATGGCTCACATCAACACCATTATCCCAGAAACCCTAGACCCACTCCAATTTGCATACCTCCCCAACAGATCCACAGATGATGCAATCTCTATTGCACTCCACACTGGCCTTTCCCACCTGGACAAGAGGAACACCTACGTGAGAATGCTATTCATTGACTACAGCTCAGCATTCAACACCATAGTGCCCTCAAAGCTCATCACTAAGCTAAGGATCCTGGGACTAATCACCTCCCTCTGCAACTGGATCCTGGACTTCCTGACGGGCCGCCCCCAGGTGGTAAGGGTAGGTAACAACACATCTGCCACACTGATCCTCAACACGGGGGCCCCTCAGGGATGCATGCTCAGTCCCCTCCTGTACTCCCTGTTCACCCATGACTGCATGGCCAGGCACGACTCCAACACCATCATTAAGTTTGCCAATGACACAACAGTGGGAGGCCTGATCACCGACAACGATGAGACAGCCTATAGGGAGTAGGTCAGAGACCTGGCCATGTGGTGCCAGGATAACAACCTCTCCCTCAACGTGACCAAGACAAAAGAGATGATTGTGGACTACAGGAAAAAAAAGAGGACTGAGCACGCCCCCATTCTCATCGACGGGGCTGTAGTGGAACAGGTTGAGAGCTTCAATTTCCTTGGTGTCCACATCACCAACAAACTATCATGGTCTAAACACACCAAGACAGTCGTGAAGAGGGCACGACAAAGCCTATTCCCCCTCAGGAGACTGAAAAGATTTGGCATGGGTCCTCAGATCCTAATAATATTCTACAGCTGCACCATCGAGAGCATCCTGACTGGTTGCATCACCCCCTGGTATGGCAACTGCTTGGCCTCCGACCACAAGGCATTACAGAGGGTAGTGCGTACGGCCCAGTACATTGTCGTGTCCCGTCGGCTGTTGGTGGTTGTTGCTGTCAAACAAAGAGTCCGCTTAGGCTGCACCTGGATTAGAAGCTTTTATTCATATCACAAGTTTACAGCATAAGTTACAGACCCGCGGTGTCTGGAGAAGCACCGTCCCAAAATAATCTGAATGCTTCTGCCCCCTCTTTGTCTAGCTCATACTTATAAACAATGGCAGAAAATGGGTCGCTCCCTCTTTCGTCCAATCACCTATCCCCCCTGGGGCGTCACCCTACAACTGCTACATTTGAACTAAGATAAACATCTTTCCTTTGTCCCTCTAGAATAGTCATAATCTTCATACACGACAACATCACTGGGGCCAAGCTTCCTGCCATCCAGGACCTCTATACCAGGCGGTGTCAGAGGAAGGCCCTCAAAATTGAACAAGACTCCAGCCACCCTAGTCATAGACTGTTCTCTCTGCTATCGCACGGCAAGCGGTACCGGAGTGCCAAGTCTAGGTCCAAAAGACTTCTCAACAGCTTCTACCCCCAAGCCATAAGACTCCTGAACAGCTAATCATGGCTACCCGGACTATTTGCACTGCCCCCCACCCCCACCCCCCACCCCATCTTTTTACGCTGCTGCTACTCTGTTAACTATTTATGCATAGTCACTTTAACTCTACCCACAAGTACATATTTCTTCAACTACCTCAACTAGCCGGTGCCCCCGCACATTGACTCTGCACCGGTACCCCCCTGTATATATAGCCTCCCTACTGTTATTTTATTTTACTTCTGCTCTTTTTTTCTCAACACTTCTTTGTTGTTTTGTTGTTTTATTTTACTTTTTTATTAAAAATAAATGCACTGTTGGTTAAGGGCTGTAAGTAAGCATTTCACTCATGTCTGCACCTGTTGTATTCGGCGCATGTGGCCAATCAAATTTTATTTTATTTTATATATATTTATACTCTGGACTACGCCAATGTTCATCCTAATATATAAATATTTCTTAATTCAATTTTTTTACATTTTTGATTTGTATGTATTGTTTTGTATTGTTAGATATTACTGCACTGTTGGAGTTAGGAACACAAGCATTTTGCTAAACCCGCAATAACATCTGCTAAATATGTGTATTGTTAGGTTCTGAACAAACAGAGTAAAAATTTAAACGAACTAGGAATAGCTAAAAACCAAGTTTATTCACCCAGTTGGTCACACAGTTGCAAAGACAAAGCATGATTGGACAAGCACATATATTTATAACCTCCTACTAGACAGCCAATACATCTCTGTTGCGAGGCAGGAACTTAATTGATCCTCTGACTGGTGTAGTCATGGCCCTGCCTGGTGCTAGAACCTTCGTGTGCATGGAAATGTATGTGTGTGAGATAGGACTGTAGTAGGAGAGTCATTTTGGTGGGCCCCTCTGTCCCCCCTCCCAGAGGTTGCTTCTCACTTCATCTGTTGACTTGACCTCGAGCCGAATTCCTCGCTCCTCCCTAGTTCCACAGCTGGCATGCATTATCAAGAATTGAAACTAGACTGTTGCCCTTTGCCTCCCTCCTTAGAAACAGAATATGAACTTTCTGCGCTTGCCTTTGTCTCACCCAATAACTTTACACACACAAAATTCCTATCCACCCTTAATTGACCCCAACATATACATTCCTTATACATGTAAAGTAATCAATAAGTTTGATAACATTAATAAGTATATTTCTAGCTAGAATCCAACAGTATGCAACCAATAACATTTGATTTTATGTAGACTGTTTATTACTCCTCAGATGGGATGAATAGAAGCCCAAGGCTCTTAATGATTTACCTCTATACTGTAGTATCAGAGAAGACATGCACAACTTTGCTTGTTTTTAAAAAACAGGATTTTATTTTCAAACTGCAATTTCCCATCACACAGCGGCATTCACAATGAAGCATGACAAGTGATTCCACTACATATTACATAACATTACATTATGTCATCAACACTTTGTTAGTAACATTTATCTTCATTTCTCAACATCCTCTTCTCAATTTGTTATTTTAGTTTAACGTATTTTGATTGAGACTGACATATGGTGAAATCTTCTATGCTTTAGTTGAAGTTAATCAGAGGAGCTAACCAAATATGGAAATCATGTGACTCAAAAAGGAAATGCATCAGCAACTTGAAAAAATGTGGAAAAAGTCGAGGGGTGCGAATACTTTCTGAAGGCACTGTAAGCACCGAAAGTAAATAAAATTAGAAAAAATAAAAGGAAAAATAAGTCATCACATTTATCATATGTTTGGTTGCTTCGAGACTAATTGGTCTTATGTCTACAAAATGTTATGGAGCATTTAAATACATTGTTTGCAAAGTCAAAAACATAATTCCAGAAGTTAATTATTCTAGAACAAGAGCCAAAAATATGGAGGTAGTTTGCGAACAATTCCCCACATTTTCTCCAGTATTCACTGGTTGTTTCTTTTCTTATCTTCACCATTGTGTCTGGAGTTAGAAAGTACCTACTGATGATTTTCCATTGATAATGGTATGAGTATTGCCTCCCAATATCATTTTCAATGTTCTCCCCAAGTTCAGATTTCCACTTGCTCTTAGTTTGCAGAGTATTGCTCTAGGTCATGACAGCAACAGATTAGTATATTTTTGTTATTTGTTTACTACTAGTTGCCCTTTTCTGAGTATTGATTCAGTGTTTTTCAATGGGAGAGGGCTCACCTTTCATTTTTACCCAGTTGAGGTGTTTCAGTAAATAGTCTCTTCGCTGTAAATAGCTACAGAAATCAGACTTTGGCAAATGGAAGTCTGAACTTAGTTCGCCAAATGATTTAACTTGGTTGTTCTTTAAGACTTGGTGTACATATTGCAAAAGAAGTAATGACCATCTTTGAAAACCTGAATCTAGTCATAATGGGACGAAATCTGTAAGATATGCAATACCAGTTGGGGATGATATGCCCATAGGCAGATGGAAACTGCGTTGTACTTTCCTCCAAATCAGCCTCCTTCTATCATATTGAATCTAGACAGTACCTTTCTCACTGGCCTTTCCGTACCCTGGCGTACAAATAGTCCACCTCTTCAGGTGTGTCTACCTTCTGCTGGGGACCCTCTAATATTTCAATCTGTCCATACTCCACCTCCATTGGCTGCAGGGGACCCCCTGCCACTTTCACCTGTCCGTACTCCACTTTTCTTTCCTGCTGTCTCATCTGATTCTCCAGTGTCCTGACATCAGCGTATTCCACATCCTGACTGTTAACATTAACTGTGTAGAGAGAGAGAGAGAGAGAGAGAGAGAGAGAGAGAGAGAGAGAGTCAGATTACCTCGTAATATTTCACTGGCAAGACTGACATGGTCAATTGTAGTACTTGAGAAAATTGAAGAGCTACAGCTAAATATCCTCTAACCTGGAGTCTTTGGAGGTTTATTTTTCTTCTGGACACAGTAAACTGCCAACACCATCACTAGGACAAACCCTATGCCTGTCAGAGACCCTGCTACCATCCCTATGATGTCTGGGTAAAAGAGAGGAAACAGAGACAGAACAACATATAAGCATGAAGGTTGTTTCATTGTAGCATGAAGGTTGTTTCATTGCCACCACTGTTACTACATAAAAGGTCATGAAATCCATCATTAGTATTAATGATAATATTGATAACTAGACATTAAATTGTGGGACTTCCTTTAGCTCTTTAAAGGTATATTTGTGGTAGTGGAATAAGTGTTCTGATTTTAGATTTGAAAAGCAGAGAAGTATATTAAGATTTCATAGGCTGTAAGTGTTTGTCTAAGTTGTTGTGAAAGTGGTCAAAATGTCAGTTGTTTGTAAAAGTTGACACGAAATGTAGTTGATGCGGTTAATTAAACAGCTCTAACTGTTGATTGGCAGAAGACCATTCTTTTCTGATTTCAGATTTGAATAGCGGAGAAGTAGACCTTGATGTCATACCCTCTACGTTTTTGGCTAACCTGTCGGGAAAGTGGTCAATATGTCTCTTGTTTGTAAAAGTTGACAGAAAATGTAGTTGATGTGATTACTATAACAGCTGTATCTTTTGATCGTTAGAAGATCATTATGTTCGGATTTCAGATTTGAATAGCAGAGAAATAGACTGAGCTGTCATATGCCCTGATTTTTATTCTACCTTGATGGATAAGTGGTCAAAATGTAAGTGGCTTGTAAAAGCTGAAAGGAAATGTAGCTGATGCGGTTTCCAAGACAGGTGTATCATTTGATCGGCAGAAGAGAATTCTGTTCTGATTTCAAATTTGAAAGGCACACAATCAAACTTAGATTTCATACACTTTCTAAGTCTATTGTCTAAGTTGTTGGGAAAGTGTTCAAAGTAGCTGATTTAGGTCAAAAGTTACATTGTTTAGAGTGAATATAATATAATTATGGAAGTCATGATGTCACAATGGGCCCTTTAGAATGTTGAGGAAATCCCTTTAAAGTGGCTGGAGTAAAAAATAAAGAAGGACAAAAAGTTTAAAATATTTAAAAAAGTTAAATACAAGCACACTTTTCCAGACCGATCTGTAAGTCTTAATGTTTAAATGGCATTTCTAGCTTAAACTGTAAACAGTGTACGAAAAATAGCATTCCAAGGAAGTATAATAAGTCAGAAGTATGACAAAGATTTAGAGTGGGACGATTTAGAGTGGAGGTCACTAGGGTTTCAAACCCCTTGCCGTTGGTTGTCTCTGTTTTACTGGTGGAGGCCTTTGTCACAGTTGTGTGTGCCACTACTGTAGGGTCAATACACAGGGTATTACCAGCGGCAATCACCCACTCTGATATCTTTGTCCCATTGGAAGTGCAGTTAACATACATAAGCCCTGCAAGTAATCAAATAAACAGAAATCGTATATGTATCTGAATGTAATACTGGCAAATGAATAGTGCTTTCTAAACAGGTCAAAGTCCATTGATAAAGATTCATCATAATTATAATCATCTTCATAATTATCATTAATCAATGATATTATTTTACATAATATGTCTCTTTAACAAATGTAATTAAACAGTAGCTTACCCTGACAGGGGGAGATGATTTTGCTCACAGTAACACTGCTGATGTGGTTTTTGACAGTGCAGGTGAGATCTCCTGACAGGCCTCTCTTCAGTGTGATGGTGTTTGTCTGGTCACCAGGAGAGGCCTCATTGTCTCTCTGTGTGTGTCCGTCCAGAGTCCAGCTGTACTGAGGACCGTCCCCCTCAGAGGAGCAGGTCACCCTCATCTCTCCATGGGTGAGACACTGAGAGGACAGCTGAAGAGAGGACACTGGGGCTGTGGAGGAAGAAGAATAGACATTTGCAGACATTCGCAACAACACATTAGAAAACAACACTTCTTCTAGAATTAGAAGGCCACAGAGGCTTCTGTAGTCAAGTTATGGTTAGTAATAAGAATTTGTCAAGATGAGATTTTTAAAGGGTTAGCTAATTACTGTACCTTCAATAAACAGTTGTAGTCTTCTTGTCCCTAATGTTTTCCCATCTGAATTAAATGTTTCTAGTCTATATTCAGTAGAATCACTTCTTTCTGTGTTATCTATCCTAAATGTCCCGTTGTTGAAAAAGAAGTGTGCTCTGGTTTCAATGGATTTGTGGATTTTCACTTTTTTATCAGTTTTGTTTCTAATTTGGAGTATATTTTTAGTAACACCAGTGGAGTTGGTTTTTAATAATATGTCAGGGGCTTTACTGTCAGTGGTCACCAGCTGGAGAGAGACAGTTCCTCCCAGAGCTCCATAACACTGAGCTCCATCCAGTGTTGCATCACATGGGGTCTCCATGCCTGAAAATCAAGAGGAATATAGATACTGTAGTGACTATCACTGTCCTAGTTTTGAGGTATAATTTTATGGATGAGAATACAACCAAGCAAGCAACAGTATAACCAGAGAGTAATGGCGCCGGAGGGTATGGCTGCCGTTTTACAGGCTCCTAACCAACTGTGCAAATTTTTTTTTTCTCACATTGTTTGTAACCTATTTTGTACATAATTTTGCTGCTACTGTCTCTTATGACCGAAAAGAGCTGCTGGACATCAGAACAGCGATCACTCACCTCAAACTGGACGAAGATATTTTCTTTAATGAGTCCAACGCAAAGGATATACTGCTACCCCGAGACCAGGCCCAAATCCCTGTCAATCGCATGAAGAAAAGACGGACATGCAGGGGTCGGAGGTCGGGGTGACTTGTGAGAATTTGTTGGCGAGTGAGGAAACCACCTCTACCATCCGTTCTATTGGCCAACGTGCAATCACTGGAAAATAAACTGGATGATCTACGATCAAGTCTATCCTACCAACGGGATATTAAAAACTGTAATATCTTATGTTTCACCGAGTCGTGGCTGAACGACGACACGGATAATATAGAGCTGGCTGGGTTTTCCGTGCATCGGCAGGACAGAGCAGCTACGTCTGGTAAGACAAAGGGTGGGGGTGTGTGTCTATTTGTCAATAACAGCTGGTGCGCGATGTCTAATATTAAAGAAGTCTCGAGGTATTACTCGCCTGAGGTAGAATAAATCATGATAAGTGAACACCACACTATCTACCAAGAGAGTTTTCATCTATATTATTCGTAGCCGTCTATTTACCACCACAAACCGATGCTGGCACTAAGACCGCACTCAACGATCTGTATAAGGCAATAAGCAAAGCAGAAAATACTCATCCAGAAACGGCACTCCTAGTGGCCGGGGACTTTAATGCAGGCAAACTTAAATCTGTTTGACCTCATTTACATTTACATTTTACATTTACATTTTAGTCATTTAGCAGACGCTCTTATCCAGAGCTCTTATCCAGACGCTCTTATCCAGAGCGACTTACAGTTAGTGAGTGCAAACATTATTTAATTTTTTCATACTGGCCCCCCGTGGGAAACAAACCCACAACCCTGCCGGCCATTCCCTCCCCTACCCTGGACGACGCTGGTCACATGTGCAACCAGAGGAAAATAATCTCTAGACCACCTTTGCTCCACACACAGAGACGCTTACAAAGCTCTCCCTCGCCCTCCAATTTTGGAAAATCTGACCATAAGTCTATCCTCCTGATTCCTGCTTTCAAGCAAAAACTAAAGCAGGAAGTACCAGTGACTCGCTCAATACCGAAGTGGTCAGATGACGCGGATGCTATGCTAAAGGAATGTTTTGCTAGCACAGACTGGAATATGTTCCGGGATTCATCCAATGGCATTGAGGAGTATACCACATCAGTCACCGGCTTCATCAATAAGTGCATTTACGACGTCATCCCCACAGTGACCGTACGTACATATCCCAATCAGAAGCCATGGATTACAGGCAACATCCTCAACAAGCTAAAGGCAAGAGCTACCGCTTTCAAGGACCGGGACACTAATCCGGACGTTTATACGAAATCCCGCTATGCCCTCAGACGAACCATCAAACAGGCAAAGCGTCAATACAGGGCTAAGATTGAATCCTACTACACTGGCTCTGACGCTCGTCGGATGTGGCAGTGCTTGCAAACTACTACGGAATACAAAGGGAAACTCAGCCGTGAGCTGCACAGTGACGCGAGCCTACCAGACAATCTAAATGCCTTTAATGCACGTTTCAAGGCAAGTAACACTGAAGCATACATGAGAGCACCAGCTGTTCTGGACGACTGTGTGATCACGCTCTCCATAGCCGATGTGAGCAAGACCTTTAAACAGGTCAACATTCACAAGGCCGCTGGGCCAGACGGATTACCAGGACGTGTACTCAGAGCATGTGCAGACCAACTGGCAAGTGTCTTCGCTGACATTTTCAACCTCTCCCTGACCGAGTCTGTAATACCTACATGTTTCAAGCAGACTACCATAGTCCCTGTGCCCAAGAAAGCGAAGGTAACCTGCCTAAATGACTAAAGACCCGTAGCACTCACGTCAGTAGCCATGAAGTGCTTTGAAAGGCTTACATCAACACCATCATCCCGGAAACCCTAGACCCCCTCCAATTCGCATACCACCCCAACATATCCACAGATGACGCAATCTCAATCGCACTCAACACTGCCCTTTCCCACCTGGACAAAAGGAACACCTATGTGAGAATGCTGTTCATTGACTACAGCTCAGTGTTCAACACCATAGTGCCTACAAAGCTCATCACTAAGCTAAGGACCCTGGGACTAAACACCTCCCTCTGCAACTGGATCCTGGACTTCCTGATGGGCCACCACCAGGTGGTAAGGGTAGGCAACAACACATCTGCCATGCTGATCCTCAACACCTGGGCCCCTCAGGGGTGCGAGCTTAGGCCCCTTCTGTACTCCCTGTTCACCCACAACTGCGTGGCAAAGCACGACTCCAACACCATCATTACAGTTGCTGACGACACAACCGGAGCGTCAAGTCTAGATCCGAACGATTCCTTAACAGCTTCCACCCCAAGCCATAAGACTGCTGAGCAATTAATCAAATGGCCACACTGACTATTTACATTGACCCTCCCCCCTCCCCCCTTTGTTTTTACACTGCTGCTACTCGCTGTTTATTATCTATACATAGTCACTATACCCCTACCTACATGTACAAACTACCTCGACTAACCTTATACACACTGACTGTGTTCATTTTACTGTGTTCATTTTTGTTTTCTTTTAAACTTTCTTTTATTTACTAAATATTTTCTTAAGTCTATTTCTTGAACGGCATTGTTGGTTAAGGGCTTGTAAGTAAGGATTTCACGGTAAGGTCTATACCGGTTGTATTCGGCGCATGTGACAAATACAATTTTATTTTATTTTATTTTATTTGATAACCAAACCAATGACATCAAGGTACTTGGCAACATAACAGTACCTCAGTCAGTTATAATTATCACAAGACAATGAATAACGAGACAACTCTGTCTTTTTCAGTCTTTTGAATATTGTCTCTGTATCTATCATTAGTCATTATGAGAGGGATTCATTTGACAAAAGGGATTCTGGGTAGCCTATAGTACACCACAAAGAGCTTTGATCAAGTGGTTCACTTTCTGCATGACATAAACAAGGCTCCTTATATCATGTGTAAAACAAGAGGGAAATCGACACATAAAGAAACTTCTTACCATGAGACACTCCTGCTAACATCACCAACAGTCCAAACAGAGCCTTCATGTCTCTTCAAAACACAGGGCTCAAGTTAGCAAATTAAGCTATACTGTACTGTAACAAAATCCTCTATTTTCCATTCAGTGCTGAATTTCCATAAGCTCACAATTTACAACATAAACAAAACCTATGCAAAGGTGATATGAAAGACACTCCAGCTGTCCTTGTCACTCAGTAGAATTCACTTAGCTTGTGACAAGCAAAAGAGAAGTACAATTTGTACCTCGCCCTATTAATTGGTTCTGACTCAGAGGAAAGAGGAAGAGCCTCAACGTTTCACTTGTTCGTTACATAAACAGCCAGGCTGGCTTCATTCATGTCTATTGATGTGTAATCTCAGATAAGTTATGAGGCTACACTCTTAGAAAAAAGGTTCTAACTACCTAAAAGGGTTCTTCGACTGTCCCCTTTCCACAGAGGGTTCTACATTTAACCCAGAAGGCTTTTACCTCTAAGAGTGTACTTTTGAATGTAAATAAATGTTTGCGCCTGAGAAAATGACCTTGTTCGTTTTGTAAGGGCAGTGGTCAGCTCTAACACACAAGCTGTTCATCACTGACATGAACACACCACCTTCAGTAGGCACTTTCAGTCCATTTAAGATTGTGACATTTTTTTAAAGAGAGAGAGAGAGAGAGAGAGAGAGAGAGAGAGAGAGAGAGAGAGAGAGAGAGAGAGAGAGAGAGAGAGAGAGAGAGAGAGAGAGAGAGAGAGAGAGAGAGAGAGAAATAAAAAGTGAAATACAGAGGACCAACAGACCAAATTCCAATGTTTCCCAATGGTGGATTGTGACTCCTTGACAGCATCGATTGGTTGTAAGTGATTCCTTTTGGGTTGCAGCTAGACAGAATAAAAATACATCATAATGGACTGCATTTATATAGCACTTTCTGGGAGCTCAAACCGTGATAAATTGGGTTTGTTTATTAGATGCAAAATAAGATGTGATTCAGAAAAAAGTGAAGGGAACAAAAAAGGAACCATTCTTCCATAGAGGACACACTAGGGGGCCATCCTCTCGCTCACAAACTTCTGTAGTGAATGAAAACTTCTACTACTGTGCAAAAACATTGTATGGTTGTATGTTGAGAAAAAATAAACATAAACAAATAAAACATTAAATCAGTAACAGAGAGACTATGACAAATGTAGACAGTCCACTTTTTTTTAGGTAAAGAACGTACAAAACCCTCAGCAGTGAATGACATGAAATATCAACAGTAATATGGGAAAGTTAATACAATTCGTTACAGTAACAAATGGAGCAACAAGGCTTCAGTACCACTTCTAAAGACCAACCCTTCAAACATGCAGCTCAAGAACCTCTCTCATTGGCCAAGCTGTATTCCAGTATACAGTCTCCTCCAGTCCCTCAGGTCTATCTCTCAGTGTTTGGTCTGGCCCCCTCCAGCACTACAATTTGTCCATACACCATCTCCTCTGAAACCTCCCTCTGTTTCTCCCTCTTCTTTCGAATAGTGATGTCAGCATATTCCAGTTCCGGACTCTCATTAGCATTTGTGTGGAGATGTTTGTGGAAAAAAATGGAAGGCTACTGCACAGATCACTTTTTGACAATTAACATTTGAAGTATGTAAACAGTCTTCATAAGCTCTAATGTTGATTTGCAGAGTTAGAAATAGCATCCATTCACCTCCTTCACATGCACTTGGCCAAACTGTAGATCTGGGTTACTGTATGTAAACCTTCAAAGGCGCATTTAACCCCCAAAAAACATTTGTCCATATATTTCCATGGAGATAGACAGTTCCTCCAATAGCTCCAGTAACACTACATGTTCTATGTAGCATCACAGGAGGTCTCCATGCCTGAGGATAGAAAAAAGTTTTGTTGATAGTGATAATAAGTCTAAATCCTTTGATAAAACTTTATTAATGCCATTTCACTTTGTGACATTATGATTGCCCAAACTGATCTTTTGACACGCGGCTCGAGTCGCAGGACGACACCAGCCAGGAGGACAGCCCCGGGGGCGAGGAGCAGGCCAGTCCGGACGGCGGAGATGGAAATCCAGGACAATGTTGGGGTCCAGGATGGCGGCCGCCGGAACCCAACAGCGCTCCTCTGGACCCAACAGCGCTCCTCTGGACCTTGATCAGGAGATGGTGGGGTTATGAAATTGGAGCCGCAGGAGGCCGAGGATGACTTTTTGTATGTGTGCAGTGGTGATGAGGAAGGGACGTTTTTGTTGTTGCATGGGTCCCACGGTGAGGGTGAGTGGTGCTGTGATTGTGCAGGATCCCAATGGCCGTGTATCCAGGGCTTGGACAGGAAAAGGAAAGGAGAGGGGGTATGAAGTTTAGTTCAGGGAGGAGGCGAGGGCCTGGTTGATGAAGTTCCCAGTGGCACCGGAGTCCACTAGAGCTGTAAAGACAACACTTGAGGGACAGCCAGCGAAATGGGAAGCAGAAAGGGTTTGGCGGAAAACGATGATAAAGGAATACTCACGCCTACCCTGGGAGGCGGAAGGTCACAGGGCTGCCCCTCTGCTCTAGTGGACCCCGGGTTGGGATGCACAGGACACCGCTGAAGCTAGTGCCCCTCTTGGCCGCAATAGGGACAGAGCCCCAGCTATGTCCGGCGACGCCGCTCTGCAACGGAGAGGTGTGTGGCCCCTACCTCCATGGGTTCAGGCTCTGCCTCAGGACAGCCAAAGCAGGGAGGCGAGTGGCGAGGTGGACACCGGCGCTCCCGAAGAAGGTTATCCATATGGATGGCCATCGCGATGAGAGCATCCAAGGATATGTTGTCATCTCGACATGCTAACTCCGTCTGGACCTCCTTGCGCAATCCACTGCAGAATAGATTGTGGAGCGCCGGCTCATTCCATCCACTGGAGGCTGCCACAGTCCGAAAGGTGAGGGCATACTCCGCAGCGGTCTGGGCACCCTGCTGAAGTTGGAAAAGTCGCTCACCTCCCTCTCTGCCTTCTGGAGGACGGTCGAAGACCGCCCTGAACAAAGCCATGAACCCAACTCCTCCTCTCCTCTCTCCCAGACGCCCGTAGGCCACACCAAATCACGTCCGGTCAGCAGGGAAATGACCGTGGCAACCTTGGACCTCTCGGTGGTGGGACTCCCGTCTGATAGGCAAAATAGATGGAGCCCTGGAGTAGTAAGCCACGGCATTTCGATGGAGTACCGTTCTACTATTCCGGAAGGGACAGTCGGGCGGCTGGGTAGATGTATGGAGAACCTCACTGGTGGTGTCGAGGCGGGGGAGAATGCAGAGGACCTCGTTCATGGTCGTAACCAGTAGAGCTAGCTGGTCGTGGTGTTGGTGGAGTAGATGACCCTGTTCCTCGACCGTCCGGAAGATGGTGTAACTTCTGCTGCTTCCATTATTTTTCTGAGGCAGTATTCTGTAACATATACGCTAGGAGTCAGGAAGCAGGTGCAGAAGGTGAGTTTAATAATGAGAATAAGCAGATAAACAAAACAGAAAACACATACTGAACGTGAACAAAACCAATACTGCCTGAAGACTGAGGCTACTGAGGGCTAAATAAAAGGAGAGTAATCAAGGTGATGATGAAGTCCAGGTGTGCATAACGATGGGGAGCAGGTGTGCATAATGAATGTTGCCAGGTGCGCATAATGTGGGTTGCCAGGACCGGTGGTTAGTAGACTGGCGACGTTGAGCTCTGGAGAGAGGGAACGGGATTAGGCATGACAGCATATTACACAACATTACATTACATTATCAACACTTTGTTAGAAACATCATTATCTTTATTTCTCAACATCCTCTTCTCAATTTGTTATTTTAGCTTAACTTACTTTGATTGAGACTGACATATAGTGAAATCATATATGCTTTACTTTAAGTTAATCAGAGGAGCTAACCAAATATTGTAATGTCTTGAAGAAAAGCCAGCTCCATCTGCTCGGGGTCAGAGTCGTCTGGAGTGGGAACGGGCAGACCCCTACCAGGACGTCCTCTGGCTGCTAGCAGATTGTCCAACCGGATGGCCATGTCCACCAGTTGGGAGAACAATAGCATGGCATCACGGCAGGCTAGCTCCCGTCGGACATCCTCCCTTAGGTGGCACAGGAAATGGTTGATCAGGGCCCGCTCGTTCCACCCGGACCCCGCTGCCAGTGTCCGGAATTCTAACGCGTAGTCCTGTGCGGTCCTCGTCCCCTGCCTCAGATGGACCAGTCGTTCGCCCGCCTCTCGACCCTCAGGCAGGTGATCGAAAACGGCCCGAAAGAGGTGAGCAAACTCCCCGTAGTCCTCCAACGCGGCACCTCCCTCGTTTCACACCGCGTTGGCCCACTCCAGGGTTCTCCCACAAAGGCAGGAAACGAGGACGGATACCCTCTCCCGCTCCAGTGGCGCCGGCCTGATGCTGGAGCAGAAATCCCTTACATCGCGCAGCCGTCCCATCAAACGCCGGTGGCCGGGATATCTGGATCCCTCCAGGGGCTGGGGTGTAGGTGGCTGGATCCGGTTGACCAGCTGGTCTCGATAGATCGGGTCCTCTCCTCTCCAGGCGTTCTACTACCTGAAGAACCTGATCCATCGCTTCCCCCAAGCTGGCCAGCATCGAGGAATGCTCCTTGACCCTTGCCACAACTCCTGGCATGCGGTCTTCTCCTGCTGACTCCATTCAGCGGGTGAGTGATTCTGTGATGTGGTGTGAATGAAGGAGTCAGGCGCAGGAGGTAAAACACCGAAGTCCAGAGTTGATTCCGTTCACATAAATAAAACGCACCCAGCGTCAAAACTAAACAAACAAGGGAAAATAATCCACCTTGGCAAATACACATGGAAGAGTAGCTAAACCGAGCTACTCGCTCTCACAATAAACAATCACTCACAAAGACAAGGGGAACAGAGGGAACACTTATACCCATACTAATTAGGGGAATGAGCACCAGGTGTGTGTGATTGACAAGACAAGACATGACAAGTGGAGTGATGAGAATGGGATCGGCAGTAGCTAGTAAGCCGGTGACGACGAACGCCGAAACCTGCCCGAACAAGGAGGGAAGGCAGTCTCGGCGGAAGTCGTGACATAGTGTTTGTAAAGTAAATATGGTGATTATTATTAAGGTTCTGGTCTTCTGAGATACAAACAAGTATACAACAAACCAGATAACTATACAATTGTGCCTTCAGAATGTATTCATACCCCTTGACTTATTCCACAGTTTGTTGTGTTACAGCCTGAATTCAAAACTGATGAAATCATTTTTTTCTCTCTCACCCATCTACACACAATAATACCTCATAATGACAAAGTGAAAACATGTTTTTTTTTTAATTGTTGCGAATTTCTTGAAAATGAAATACAGAAATATCGAATTTATTATTCACACCCCTGTATTCACACCCCTGAGTCAATTCATGTTGGAATAACTAGGCCACTCAGGAACATTCAATGTCGTCTTGGTAAGCAACTCCGGTGTATATTTGGCCTAGTGTTTTAGGTTATTGTCCTGCTGAAAGGTGAATTTCCTCTAGGTTTTCCTCTAGGATTTTGCCTGTGCATAGCTCTATTACATTTATTTGTATCATAAAAAACTCTGTAGTCCTTGCAGATGACAAACATACCCATAACACGATGCAGCCACCACCATGCTTGAAAATAAAAAGAGCGGTACTCAGTGATGTGTTGTGTTTTTTGCCAGGATTTGCCCCAAACATAACACTTTGTATTCAGGATATAAAGTTAATATCTTTGCCACTTTTTCTGCTGTTTTCCTTTAGTGCCTTATTGAAAACAGGATGCATGTTTTGGAATGTTTTTATTCTGTACAGGCTTCTTTCTTTTCACTGCTATTTACAGTACCAGTCAAAAGTTTGGACACACCTACTCATTCAATTATTTTTTTTTTTTTTACAATTTTCTACATTGTAGAATAATAGTGAAGACATCAAAGATGTGAAATAACACATATGGAATCATGTAGTAACCAAAAAAGTGTTAAACAAATCAAAATATATTTTATATTTGAGATTCTTCAAAGTAACCACCCTTTGCCTTAATGACAGCTTTGCACACTCTTGGCATTCTCTCAACCAGCTTCATGAGGTAGTCACCTGGAAAGCATTTAAATTAACAGGTATGCCTTCTTAAAAGTTATTTGTGGAATTTCTTTCCTTCTTAATGCGTTTGAGCCAATCAGTTGTATTGTGACAAGGTAGGGGTGGTATACGGAAGATAGCCCTATTTGGTTAAAGACCAAGTCCATATTATGACAAGAACAGCTCAAATAAGCAAAGAGAAACAAATGTCCATCATTACTTTAAGACATGAAGGTCAGTCAATACGGAACATTTCAAGAACTTTGAGCCAAAATAAATGCTTCACATAGTTGAAGTAACAGACACATCTCAACATCAACTGGTCAGAGCAGACTACGTGAATCAGGCCTTCATGGTCGAATTGCTGCAAAGAAACCACTACTAAAGTACGCCAATAAGAAGAAGAGACTTGCTTGGGCCAAGAAAAATGAACAATGGACAATAGAACGGTGGAAATCTTTCCTTTGGTCTGATGAGTCCAAATTTGAGATTTTTGGTTTCCAAACGCTGTGTCTTTGTGAGATGCAGAGTAGGTGAACGGATGATCTCTGCATGTGTGGTTCCCACCATCAAGCATGGAGGAGGAGGTGTGATGGTGTGGGGGTGCTTTTCTGGTGACACTATCTGTGATTTATTTAGAATTCAAGGCACACTTAACCATCATGGCTACCACAGCATTCTGCAGCGAAACGCCAACCCATCTGGTTTGTGCTTAGTGGGACTATCATTTCTTTTTCAACAGGACAATGACCCAAAACACACCTCCAGGCCGTGTAAGGGCTATTTGACCAAGGAGAGTGATGGAGTGCTGCATCAGATAAACTGGCCTCCACAATCCCCCGATTGGGATGAGTTGGACCGCAGAGTGATGGAAAAGCAGCCAACAAGTGCCAGCATATGTGGGAACTCCTTCAAGACTGTTGGAAAAGCATTCCTCATGAAGCTGGTTGAGAGAATGCCAAGAGTGTGCAAAGCTGTCATCAAGGCAAAGGGTGGCTACTTTAAACATTCTCCATAGACAAACATTGGCAGTAGAATGGCCTTATTGTAGAGCTCAGTGACTTTCAACGTGGCACTGTCGTAGGAGGCCACCTTTCCAACAACTCAGTTCATCAAATTTCTGCCCTTCTAGAGCTGCCCCGGTAAACTGTAAGTGCTGTTATTGTAAAGTGGAAACACCAACTGCTCAGACGCGAAGTGGTAGGCCACACAAGCTCACAGAACGGAACAGTGCTGAAGCGCGTAGCACGTAAAAATGGTCTGTCCTCGGTTGCAACACTCACTATCAAGTTCCAAAACTGCCTCTGGAAGCAACATCAGCACAATAACTTTTCGTCTGGAGCTTCATGAAATGGGTTTCCATTGCTGGATTGGTGTAAAGCTTGCCGCCATTGGAATCTGGAGCAGCTGAAAGGCATTTTATAGAGTGAAGAATCATGCGTCACCATCTGGCAGTCTGATGGACGAGTATTGGTTTGGCGGATTCCAGGGAAACGCTACCTGCCCCAATGCATAGTGACAAATGTAAAGTTTGGTGGAGGAGGAATAATGGTCTGGGCTGTTTGTCATGGTTTGGATTAGGCCCCTTACTTCCAGAGAAGGGAACTCTTAATGCTAAAGCATACAATGAAATTCTAGACAATTCTGTGTTTCCAACTTTGTGGCAACAGTTTGGGGAAGGCCCTTTCCTGTTTCAGCATTACAATGCCCCTCTGCACAAAGTGAGGTCCATAGAGAAATGGTGTGGAAGAACTTGACTGGCCTGCAAACAGCCCTGACCTCAACCCCATCGAACTCCTTTGGGATGAATTGGATAGCCATCTGCGAGCCAGGCCTAATCGCACAGCACCGACCTCACTAATGCTCTTGTCACTGAATGGAAGCAAGTCCCCGAAGCGATTTTAGATTATAAAAGTAGAGAAGTAGATTAAGATTTCATAGGTTTTAAGTGTTTGTCTAAGTTGTTGTGAAAGTGGTCAAAATGTCAGTTGTTTGTAAAAGTTCACACGAAAAGTAGTTGATGCGTTTAATAAAACAGCTGTCACTTTTGATTGGCAGAAGACCATTCTGTTCTGATTTCAGATTTAGAATAGCAGAGAAATAGACCAAGATGTCATACCTTCTAAGCTATTGGCTAACTTGTCGGTAAAGTGGTCAACATGTATTTTGTTGGCAAAAGTTGACAGAAAATGTAGTTGATGCGATTACAAAAACAGCTCTGTCATTGAACGGTAGAAGATAATTCTGTTCTGATTTCAGATTTGAATAGCAGAGAAGGAGACGGAGATGTCATATGCTCTACGTTTTTGTCTAACTTGATGGAAAAGTGGTCAAAATGTAAATTGTTTGTAAAAGCTGAGAGGAAATGTAGTTGAAGCAGTTACTAAAACAGCTGTGTTGATTCATCGGTTGAAGGTAATTCTGTTCTGATTTCAGATTTGAATAGCAGAGAAGCTATCTAAGTTGTCTAAGTTGTTGGGAAAGTGGTCAAAGTAGCTGATTTACATCAAAAGTTACATTGTTTAGAGTGAATAGAATAAGAATTTTGGAAGTCATGATGTCACATTGGGCCCTTTAGAATGTTGAGGACATCCCATTAAAGTGGCTGGAGGACAAAAAGAAGGACAAAAAGTTTCAAAAGTATAACATACAGTATATATACACTGCTCAAAAAAATAAAGGGAACACTTAAACAACACAATGTAACTCCAAGTCAATCACACTTCTGTAAAATCAAACTGTCCACTTAGGAAGCAACACTGATTGACAATAAATGTCACATGCTGTTGTGCAAATGGAATAGACAACAGGTGGAAATTATAGGCAATTAGCAAGACATCCCCAATAAAGGACTGGTTTTGCAGGTGATGACCACAGACCACTTCTCAGTTCCTATGCTTCCTGGCTGATGTTTTGGTCACTTTTGAATGCTGGCGGTGCTTTCACTCTAGTGGTAGCATGAGACGGAGTCTACAACCCACACAAGTGGCTCAGGTAGTGCAGGTTTGCTGTGTCTGTCAGCGTAGTGTCCAGAGCATGGAGGCGCTACCAGGAGACAGGCCAGTACATCAGGAGACGTGGAGGAGGCCGTAGGAGGGCAACAACCCAGCAGCAGGACTGCTACCTCCGCTTTTGTTTAAGGAGGAGCAGGAGGAGCACTGCCAGAGCCCTGCAAAATGACCTCCAGCAGGCCACAAATGTGCATGTGTCTGCTCAAACGGTCAGAAACAGACTCCATGAGGGTGGTATGAGGGCCCGACGTCCACAGGTGGGGGTTGTGCTTACAGCCCAACACCGTGCAGGACGTTTGGCATTTGCCAGAGAACACCAAGTTGGGCAAATTCGCCACTGGCGCCCTGTGCTCTTCACAGATGAAAGCAGGTTCACACTGAGCACATGTGACAGACGTGACAGAGTCTGGAGACGCCATTGAGAACGTTCTGCTGCCTGCAACATCCTCCAGCATGACCGGTTTGGCGGTGGGTCAGTCATGGTGTGGGGTGGCATTTCTTTGGGGGGCCGCACAGCCCTCCATGTGCTCGCTAGAGGTAGCCTGACTGCCATTAGGTACCGAGATGAGATCCTCAGACCCCTTGTGAGACCATATGCTGGTGCGGTTGGCCCTGGGTTTCTCCTAATGCAAGACAATGCTAGACCTCATTTGGCTGGAGTGTGTCAGCAGTTCCTGCAAGAGGAAGGCATTGATGTTATGGACTGGCCCGCCCGTTCCCCAGACCTGAATCCAATTGAGCACATCTGGGACATCATGTCTCGCTCCATCCACCAACGCCACGTTGCACCACAGACTGTCCAGGAGTTGGCGGATGCTTTAGTCCAGGTCTGGGAGGAGATCCCTCAGGAGACCATCCGCCACCTCATCAGGAGCATGCCCAGGCATTGTAGGGAGGTCATACAGGCACGTGGAGGACACACACACTACTGAGCCTCATTTTGACTTGTTTTAAGGACATTACATCAATGTTGGATCAGCCTGTAGTGTGGTTTTCCACTTTAATTTTGAGGGTGACTCCAAATCCAGACCTCCATGGGTTGATAAATTTGATTTCCATTGATAATTTTTGTGTGATTTTGTTGTCAGCACATTCAACTATGTAAAGAAAAAAGTATTTAATAAGATTATTTCATTCATTTAGATCTAGGATGTGTTATTTTAGTGTTCCCTTAATTTTTTTGAACAGTGTATATATATATATAAAGGTTGTATACAAGCACACTATTCCAGACTGATCTGTACGTTTTAAAGTTTGAATAGCATTTCTAGCTTGAACAGTGTACGAAAAATAGTATTACAAAGAATTATAATAAGTCAGAAGTATGACAAAGATTTAGATTGGGACGATTTAGAGTGGATGTCACTATGGTTTCAAACCCCTTACATGTGGTTGCCTCTGTTTGACTGGTGGAGGCCTTTATCACAGTTGTGGGTGCCACTGCTGTAGGCTCAATTCACAAGGTGTTACCAACGGCAATCACCCGCTCTGATATCTTTGTCCCGTTGGAAGTGTAGTTAACATGCATAAGCCCTCCAAAATAAACAGGAATCATATATGTATCTGAATTTAATACTGGCAAGTGGGTAGTGCTTTCTAAACAGGTCAATGTCCATTGATAAAGATTGACCATCATTATAATCATCATCATTATGTTTAACAAAATTCATTAAACAGTAGCTTACCCTCACAGGGGGAGATTATTTTGCTCACAGTAACACTGCTGATGTTGTTTTTGACGGTACAAGTGAGATCTCCAGACAGGCCTTTCTTCAGTGTGATGGTGTTTGTCTCGTCACCAGGAGAGGCCTCAGTGTCTCTCAGTGGGTGTTTGTCCAGAGTCCATCTGTACTGAGGACCATCCCCCTCAGAGGAGCAGGTCACCCTCATCTCTCCATGGGTGAGACACTGAGAGGACAGCTGAAGAGAGGACACTGGGGCTGTGGAGGAAGAAGAATAGACATCTGTAGACATTTGCAGACATTCGCATAAACACATTAGAAAACAACACTTCTTCTAGAATTAGAAGGCCACAGAGGCTTCTGTAGTCAAGTTATGGTTAGTAATAAGGATTTGTCAAGATGATAATTTTAAAGGTTTAGCTAATAACTGTACCTTCAATAAACAGTTGTAGTCTTCTTGTCCCTAATGTTTCCCCATCTGAATTAAATGTATCTAGCCTATATTCAGTAGAATCACTTATTTCTGTGTTATCTATCCTAAATGTTCCGTTGTTGAAAAAGAAGTGTGCTCTGGTTTCAATGGATTTGTGGATTTTCATTTTTTTCATTTTGTTTGTAATTTGGAGTATAATTTTTGCAGCATCAGTGGAGTCAGTTTTTAATAATATGTCAGGGACTCCACTGACAATGGTCATCAGCTGGAGAGAGACAGTTCCTCCCAGAGCTCCATAACACTGAGCTCCATCCAGTGTAGCATCACATGGGGTCTCCATGCCTGAAAATCAAGAAGAATATAGACACTGTAGTGAATATCACTGTCGTAGTTTTAAGGTATAATTTTATGGATGAGAATACAAGCAAGCAGCAGTATAACCAAACGACAATCAGGATATTAGGCAACATAACAGTACCTCAGTTAGTTATAATTATCACAAGACTATGAATAACGAGACAACTCTGACTTTTTCAGTCTTTTGAATAATGTCACTGTATCTATCATTAGTCATTATGAGAGGTATTAATTTGACAAAAGTGATTCTGGGTAGCCTATAGTATACCACAAAGAGCTTTGATCAAGTGGTTCACTCTCTATATGATATCTACAAGGCTCCTTACTGTATATCATGCGTAAAACAAGAGGGTAAATCGACACATAAAGAAACTTTAACTCTGCCCACATGTGCCCCCGCACATTTTTTTTTTACTTAACACTTTTTAATTTTACTAAAATATTTTAAAAATTGATTTTTTTTTTCGAATAGTGATATCAGCACATTCCAGTTCTGGACTCTCATCAGCATCTGTGTGGAGATGTTGACATGAGTGTTTTGGGGAAAAATGGTAGGCTACTGCACACACCATTTATTGACATTTAACATTTGAAGTATGTAAGCAGCCTACATAAGCTCTAATGTTGATTTTCAGAGTTAGAAATAGCATCCATTCACCTCCTTCACATGCACTTGGCCAAACTGTAGATCTGGAAATAGGCCTATCGAAATGTATCTAGGCCTACTCTAATGCAAACTCGAAACCACAACATAAAAAACATCTAAAGTGAGCTACAACACTGAAGCAACAGTCACATGAGCTGACTGAGTGTTGTTACCATCGGTGTTGATAGCCATCTTTGACATTTGTAGACGTGTTAGATTGTTAAACTGTCACATTACTGACCTGGTGACTGTGGAGGTGTCCTCCTCTTGGCAATACAGTAAGCTCCCACCACCACTGCAAGGACCAGGACCACAGCTACTGGTGAGCCTATGAAAGACCCATAGGATCCTCCTGCATGATATGGTGAGGATTACTGTATGTAAGCCTTCAAAGGTGCATTTAACCCCCAATGAAAAAAAGTATAATATTTTTTAATTAATCCATGTTTGACACAGTCCCTCCTCACAAGTCATGCATGACAACATTCAAGCTTTCAAGATAAATTGCCTTTGGCTTCTTTGGAATAATCTTATTTGGCAAATAGATATATGTGATTTTTTTAGCTCCTCACGTCCGATGATCAGTTGTACTCCTCTGGTCTCCAAGTACATTCCATCTGAATTCAAGGTTTCTAAACAATATTTAGCAGAATCACTCCTCTCTGTGTTATTTATTTTAAATGTCCCATTATTGATAAAGAACTCTGATCTGGCTTTAATTCATTTATGCTTTAATTTGTTGTTTATTATTTTGTATATCTCTGTATTAGCACCAGTGGGGTCTTTTTTTAATTTGAGTTTGGATCCTGTGCATCAGTCATCAGCTGGACATAGACAGTTCCTCCCAGAGCTCTGTAACACGACATGTTCTATGTAGCATCACAGGAGGTCTCCATGCCGAGGATAGAAAAAAATTGCTGTTTTGTTGATAGTGATACTAAGTGTAAATCCTTTGCTAAAACATTATTAATGCCATTTCACTTTGTGACATTACGATTGGCCAAACTGATCTTTTGACAAGTAAATCATTTTCAATTAGCTTGTTTTTTTTTTTTTTATTAAGCCCTCAAACTACTGAACAACTTGCAAACATTTCAAAGATTGTACTGACTTAGAGTTCATATAAGGAAATCAGTCAATTGAAATAAAATAATTAGGCCCTAATCTATGGATTTCACATGGCTGCGCAGCCATGGGGTGGGCCTGGAAGGTCCACTCACTTGGGAGCCAGGTCCACCCACTGGGAAGCCAGGCCCAGCCAATCAGCATACGTTATCCCCACAAAAGGGCTTTATTACTGACAGATATACTCCTGAGCACCCCCCCCCCCCCCTCATCATTACACACAATTTATAACACTAGGTTGTTGTTATCTCCATAGACCATTAGAGGAAAAAGTACTCAATTGTCATGCTTGAGTAAAAGTAAAGATACCTTAATAGAAAATTATTCAAGTAAAAGTGAAAGTCACCCAGTAAAATACTGCTTGAGTAAAAGTCTAAAAGTATTTGGATTTAATATACTTAAATATCAAAAGTAAATGGAATTGCTCAAATGTACTTAATTATCAAAAGTAAAAGTAAAAGTATAAATAATTTCAAATTCCTTATATTAAGCAAACCGGACTGCACAATTTTCTATTTTTTAATTTTTATTGACGGATAGCAGGGGCACACTCCAACTGTCACGATCGTCGAACAGAGATGAGGACCAAGGCGCAGCGTTGCAGGCAAACATACTCTTTATTAGAGACACGATCAAAACCAACAAAACGTGACAGTTCACGGTCTAACACAACAGACTCGAAACAAGATCCCACAAACTCTGTGGGGAAACAGGCTGCTAAAGTATGGTTCTCAATCAGAGACAACAAGCAACAGCTGAATCACGTTGCCTCTGATTGAGAACCACACTGGCCAACATAGAACCACAATACCAGAATGTGAAACCTAGAACAACACACATAGACTTTACACACCCTGGCTCAACATATTAGAGTCCCCAGAGCCAGGGCGTGACAGTACCCCCCCCCTAAAGGTGCGGACTCCGACCGCGCCCACCAAACACCACAGGGGAGGGACCGGGTGGGCACTCCGCTTAGGCGGCGGATCCGGCTCCGGGCCTGATCCCCGCTCCCTCTCCAACCCCCCAAAGTACCCCTGGTCCGGTCTGGCCCCGCTGGCCGGAGCTGGACTGCACACTGGTGGAGCGGATTGCTCTAGCTCCGGCGTGAAGCATCTGACCGGTGCCGGACCAGCCACCGGTGGAACAGGCACGGGCCGTGCCGGACTGACGACGCACACCACTGGCTTGGTGTGGGGAGCAGGAGCGGGCCGAGCCGGGCTGACGAAACGCACCACTGACTTGGTGCGGGGAGCAGGAGCGGGGCCGGACCGGGCTGACGAAGCGCACCACTGACTTGGTGCGGGGAGCAGGAACGGGCCGAGCTGGGCTGACGAAACGCACCATTGACTTGGTGCGGGGAGCAGGAATGGGCCGGACCGGGCTGACGACGCGCACCACTGACTTGGTGCGGAGAGCAGGAACGGGCCGGACAGGGCTGACGAAGCGCACCACTGACTTGGTGCGGGGAGCAGGAACGGGCCGTGCCGGGCTGACGAAGCGCACCACTGACTTGGTGCGGGGAGCAGGAATGGGCCGGACCGGGCTGACGACGCGCACCACTGACTTGGTGCGGGGAGCAGGAATGGGCCGGACCGGGCTGACGAAGCGCACCACTGACTTGGTGCGGGGAGCAGGAACGGGCTGAGCTGGGCTGACGACGCGCACCGTAGACTTGGTGCGAGTGGCAGGAACAGGCCGGACCGTACTGGGAACACACACCACTGGCCCTACGTGGGGATCAGGAACAGGCCGGACCGGACTGGCAACAAACGCCAGTACCTCTCGCCGTGCCTCTACATCCTCCTGCCCCCTGGTGACCAGTGACTCCCGTAACCTGGCGGCCTCCTGCTGCCCCGTCGTCCACGGCGTTAGCCCCCCCCTAAAAAATGTATGGGCTTCACTCTTACCCGTGGACCAGGTCTCCATGCTTCTCGCCAGCCTTTCGCCCTTCTGCCTCCACGTCAAGCCCCTCTCTTCCTCACATGGCTTGACCCAGTCGAGGAGGCGAAGGAGATCCGCTAGAGATCTCTCAGGCGCTGGCTCCTGGACTTGCTGCTTGGTCCAGTCTTGGTGGGATCTTCTGTCACGATCGTCGAACAGAGATGAGGACCAAGGCGCAGCGTTGCAGGCAAACATACTCTTTATTAGAGACACGATCAAAACCAACAAAACGAAAACGTGACAGTTCACGGTCTAACACAACAGACTCGAAACAAGATCCCACAAACTCTGTGGGGAAACAGGCTGCTAAAGTATGGTTCTCAATCAGAGACAACAAGCAACAGCTGAATCACGTTGCCTCTGATTGAGAACCACACTGGCCAACATAGAACCACAATACCAGAATGTGAAACCTAGAACAACACACATAGACTTTACACACCCTGGCTCAACATATTAGAGTCCCCAGAGCCAGGGCGTGACACCAACACTGAGACATCATTTACAAACGAAGCATTTGTGTTTTGTATGGGGCCGCCAGATCAGAGGCAGTAGGAATGACCAGGGATGTTCTCTTGATAAGTATGTGAATTGGACCATTTTCCTGTCAAAATGTGACGAGTACTTTTGGGTGTCATGGAAAATGAATGGAGTAAAAAGTACATTATTTTCTTTAGGAATATAGTGAAGTAAAAGTAAAAGCTGGCAAAGATATAAATAGTAAATTAAAGTACAGATACCCCATAAAACTACTTAAGTAGTACTTTAAAGTACTTTTACTTAAGTACTTTACACCACTGCCATAGACAAACAGATATGTATCTCAGTATAGAAAAAAAACTGAAACCTCTTACCATTAGATGGTCCTACTGACATCACCAGATGTCCAAACATCTGGCCACCCCTCAGAGCCTGGTTCCTCTCTAGGTTTCTTCCTAGGTTCCTGCTTTTCTAGGGAGTGTTTCCAACCACAGTGCTTCTACATCTGCATTGCTTGCTGTTTGGGGTTTTAGGCTGGATTTCTGTATAGCACTTTGTGACATCTGCTGATGTAAAAAGGGCTTAATCAATACATTTGATTGATTGATTGTTAAACATGTTTCCTTTACAATGACCATCTGCTGATGTGGCAACTGTAGATTCACTATTGAAGTCCCAAACCCAAACAACAATCTACATGCCACAATATGTCAGAAAGTCACTAGACTGTTTGATTAAAACATGCAAATGATAGTCTCATTTCAGGGATGGGAAATTAAGTGTTTGAACACACCCATGATCTCACTTCTTCCTTTCACAGACCAATGCATAAATATTTTAAAATACAATAAGGCATTACATAAGATACAATATGTGCTGTACCTAAGCGAACAAGAGATCTTGAGACTAGATTTGCATTAGGGCTGTAAGAGGAAATGTGATACAAAATAAATAGTCACACCAGATTTACACTGTGAGAACGTTGTATCAGACTGGGTGATCAACCTCATACTGGATGATCAACCATATACTTTAGGTTATTTAGAGAAACACAATGCCGTTTTTACAGTGTTTCTCTGACATAAACTCAGTCAGTTGTTAAGTGCTAGTTTTAATATAGGCACTCCTCCCAGAAGGAAGGACCATCCATGGTGCAAGAAAGGTTGAGAAACACTGTTACACCACACAGGCCGTGTGGGGAGTGAATGTTTTACATTGAAATTCAAGGTGAGTGTATTTTAACAGACCTTTTGTTTATGAAATGTTATGAAGCGTTTAATTCCAAAATACTATATATAAATTTTCAGAAATGTTGGTAAATGAGCTTTTATTGTTTAAAGAACTTATGAGAGAGATTAGTGTGTTTTTTCACCATCTAATCATGGCATGCATGGGGTTTTTCAATGAGAGACATATGTTTAAATCACTTGATGGTTTCATTTCAGAGACAAATAATCATGTTTTATTGCAAAATGTTAAATATCCACTCTCAGAGAAATAAGTAGTACTGCTATGTTTTACACAGTCAAATGCAACAAAAACAAATTTGATTTGATTTGAATGAATACATTTTTAATAAAGAACTGTACAAATTATACATTTGTGACATCAAAAAAACAAAAACATTATAAACAAATATTAAATACAGTAATATGAAATTTGTATGTAAAACATTTACATTTTTGTCATTTAGCAGATTATGTTATCCAGAGTGATTTACAGTAATCCAGTAAGTGTATTCATATTATGATAGCTAGGTGAGACAACATATCACAGTCAAATATATAGGATACGAAGATTCCATTCCAGCTAAACAATGGATACAGTATATAGCGTTTTGCAAAAAAACAAAAATATTTTATGAAATCTATGAATAAGAAAATCTGAGAAGAGTAATATTTTACACGCACTTGAAGGTACCCATAAGCAATCATTTCTGATGAAAAAATACACGTGAAAAATTGGTGGATATATCAATTTTGAAGAAAGGAAAACTCTTAAATTAATGATAAGGGCCACAGAAAATGTTGTGGCAGGTCAGATATGTTCCTCTGGATGCTATTGCTAAAGGAGGGATTATGCCTCTACATGCTAGCCTGGTCCCATATTATATGTTATTTACATTTTAGTCATTTAACAGATGCTCTTATCCAGAGCGAGTGAGTGCATACGTTTTAGTACTGGTCCCCCTTGGGAATTGAACCCACAACCTAGATGTTGCAAGCACCATGCTCTACCGACTGAGCCACACTGAGCCAAACATTATATCTATGTCATGACAATGAACAAACACAGAGATGAGTTGGCTACACGGCACTAACAGACTGGACCACTTTCTGTAGGCCACTAGAGGGCAATCTTCCTCTAAATACCAGAAATACAATAATGAGTATTGTACTGTGTCAGTTAAATAGAATGTTTACCACCAGACAAACAACAGTAGCCTACTTTCAGTTGCATTTGTCATCTGAACATGTATTTATTTAGGTGGAAAAGCAATTATTAGTTTCAATACAGTACTCTATTCTGGACAGAAAACATGCACACACAAAAAACAAATATTTGATGAATTAAGACAGAGTGTGTCCGTTAGTAGTACACAGTTGTTTGAAATACAATGAAGAACAATATTGAAAAGCCAATTTACACACATTAAGCTTCCTGTATTTCAAAGCCTGGCCTCCTCTGAGTCCACTGGTACCCTGGACTGAGCGACTGAGAGAGATTTCATCTGAGATGTTTGCATGATTGCCTTGCTGATGTAGTGTTTCAGTGGTGATCATTCAGTCTGATATATTTGTCCCACTGGGCAAGGTGCATGATAATGATAAGAAAAACAGGAATCATTCAGCATCTGAGATGAAAACTGTTATATATGACATGATTTTTGCTAAACAGGTCGGTTTCTGATGATAACGATAATGATGGTCATAATGTTTTAAATAATGTGTCTAATTTAATGAGAATACAAATAGTGATGACAGTATGACAGAAGGCTACAGCTTAACTAGACACGGTGACATTGTCTTTCTGATGGCAACACTTCTGATGTGGTTTCTGATGGTGCATGTGAGATCTCCAGACAGGCCTTTCTTCATAGTGATGGTGTTTGTTTCATGACCAGAATAAATCTCTCTAAGTGTCTGTCTGTTCAGAGTCCAGCTGTACTGGAGATAGTCACCCTCAGAGGAGCAGGACATCCTCATCTCTCCATGGGACAGACACTCAGAGGACAGCTGTGGAGAAGACACTGGAGCTAGGAATGAAAATAGAGAACTATTAGCTGTATGAAACTACCAGTACATGAGGAGATTTTTTTCTGTGAGGTTTGCATGGTTGGCTCGCTGATGTGGTCTTCCAGTGGTGATCACCCAGTCTGATATTTTTATCCCACTGGGTAAGGTGCATGTTTCGTATTTTAGGCCGGTAAGCCATTAAAAAACATAAAAAAGGAATCATACAGTATCTGAGATGAAATCTGGCAAATTACAACATCTACAGTATGCTAAACAGGTCAGTTTCCGATGATAACATGTTGTTTGGATGATGATGATGAGATCATGATGATTATGGCAGTTATCATTATTGTCATCAATATAATTAATTTTTTTCTAAATAAATTATAATACAGATAGTAGGCCTATTGACAATATGACAGAAGGGTAATGCTTGAAAAAGAAAAGGAGAGCCGCACTCTAGGAGCTCAGATGCAATAATTGAATAACCTAATAACCTATGTTTCGACAGACAAGCTGTCTTCATCAGGGTATAATGACAAACTCCACTGGTCACTAGTTTACAGTGGGGAAAAAAAGTTTTTAGTCAGCCACCAATTGTGCAAGTTAAAAAGATGAGAGAGGCCTGTAATTTTCATCATAGGTACACGTCAACTATGACAGACAAAATGGAGAAAAAATAAATCCAGAAAATCACATTGTAGGATTTTTTATGAATTTATTTGCAAATTATGGTGGAAAATAAGTATTTGGTCAATAACAAAAGTTTCTTAATACTTTGTTATATACCCTTTGTTGGCAATGACACAGGTCAAACGTTTTCTGTAAGTCTTCACAAGGTTTTCACACACTGTTGCTGGTATTTTGGCCCATTCCTCCATGCAGATCTCCTCTAGAGCAGTGATATTTTGGGGCTGTCGCTGGGCAACACGGACTTTCTACTCCCTCCAAAGATTTTCTATGGGGTTGAGATCTGGATACTGGCTAGGCCACTCCAGGACCTTGAAATGCTTCTTACGAAGCCACTCCTTCGTTGCCCGGGCGGTGTGTTTGGGATCATTGTCATGCTGAAAGACCCAGCCACGTTTCATCTTCAATGCCCTTGCTGATGGAAGGAGGTTTTCACTCAAAATCTCACGATACATGGCCCCATTCATTCTTTCCTTTACACGGATCAGTCGTCCTGGTCCCTTTGCAGAAAATCAGCCCCAAAGCATGATGTTTCCACCCCCATGCTTCACAGTAGGTATGGTGTTCTTTGGATGCAACTCAGCATTCTTTGTCCTCCAAACACGACGAGTTGAGTTTTTACCAAAAAGTTATATTTTGGTTTCATCTGACCATATGACATTCTCCCAATCCTCTTCTGGATCATCCAAATGCACTCTAGCAAACTTCAGATGGGCCTGGACATGTACTGGCTTAAGCAGGGGGACACGTCTGGCACTGCAGGATTTGAGTTCCTGGCGGCGTAGTATGTTACTGATGGTAGGCTTTGTTACTTTGGTCCCAGCTCTCTGCAGGTCATTCACTAGGTCCCCCCGTGTGGTTCTGATGATCTTGTGATCATTTTGACCCCACGGGGTGAGATCTTGCGTGGAGCCCCAGATCGAGGGAGATTATCAGTGGTCTTGTATGTCTTCCATTTCCTAATAATTGCTCCCACAGTTGATTTCTTCAAAACAAGCTATTGCAGATTCAGTCTTCCCAGCCTGGTGCAGTTCTACAATTTTGTTTCTGGTGTCCTTTGACAGCTCTTTGGTCTTGGCCATAGTGGAGTTTGGAGTGTGACTGTTTGAGGTTGTGGACAGGTGTCTTTTATACTGATAACAAGTTCAAACAGGTGCCATTAATACAGGTAACGAGTGGAGGACAGAGGAGCCTCTTAAAGAAGAAGTTACAGGTCTGTGAGAGCCAGAAATCTTGCTTGTTTGTAGGTGACCAAATACTTATTTTCCACCATAATTTGCAAATAGATTCATAAAAAATCCTACAATGTGATTTTCTTGGATTTTTTTTTCTCAATTTGTCTGCCATAGTTGACGTGTACCTTTGATGAAAATTACAGGCCTTTCATCTTTTTAAGTGGGAGAACTTGCACAATTGGTGGCTGACTAAATACTTTTTTTCCCCCACTGTATACAGTGTCAAAGGACACACACAGGTGTCTGTAATAATGGCCGGGTGTGGCTTAATATCATTGGTTAATTTACAGATCTAAATAGAACATATAAAAAACATAAATGGAGAGCATACGATCATAGATACAATTTGGCTACATAGGCCTACAAAAATGTACAATGAATAGGAAAATCCCAATAATCACAAGAATGGCATCAGATGAAAGTCTACGTTGAGACCGAAGGGAGCAAGGGTCTTTAAATGAATTATCCAGGCAGCCTCTCGTTTTAACAATAAATTGTTGAGGTCACCCCCTCCCCTAGGGAGGGTGACGTGTTCGATGCCTGTATAACATATGGATGAAATCGAGTAGTTTGCTTCCAAAAAGTGGACCGAAACTGGGTACGTCGAGTTTTTGCACCTAATTCGCGCTTAGTTTTACCCACATCATTTTTACCACAAGGATAAGTTATAAGATAAATAACTCCCTTAGAGGAGCATGTGATAACACCTTTGATTGGGATCTGTTTCCCTGTTTTGGGGGGTGTTTGAAGGATCTACAATTGAAAGTGCCATTGCATTGAGCGCAGCCATTACACTTGTAGTTTCCATCCGGTAGAGGAGCAAACAGACATTGTGCAGGGGGTAATGCTTACCTGGACAAGGTGATATGTCTTGCTGATTGCAAAACTACTGATGTCATTTCTTACGGTGCAGGTGAGATCTCCAGACAGGCCTTTCTTCAGAGTAATGGTGTTTGTGTTTGTGTAGTAACTAGGAGAGGCCGCTCTCAGTGGATGTCTGTCAAGAGTCCAGCTGTACTGGTGGGGCCTTGCCCCTCAGAGGTGCAGGACACCCTCATCTCTTTTTCATGTTTGCCTTGATGTGGTCTTCCAGTGGTGATCACCAAGTCTGGTTTTGGCGTGGTGCATGGCTCGTATTTGAGGCCTGTAAGCAATTCAAACTAACAGAAACTATAAACTGGAAAACTGAAATGATTATTTTCCTATAATAAACATGATGATAATCATGATAATAATCATGACGATGACAATGATGATGATCAATATAATTACAAATCCTTTTTCATAATGTGTCCAAATAAAGGCAGATAGTACTGACAACAGACTATAGCTTACCCAGACAAGGTGAGATTGTCTTGCTGGTGGTAGCACTGCATATGTAGTTTCTGACGGTACAGGTGAGATCTCCAGGCAGGCCATTCCTCAGAGTGATGGTGCTTCTTTTGTAACATGGACAGTCCTCAGTGTCTCTCAGCATCTGTCTGTCCAGAGTCCAGCTGTACTGGGGAGCATCACCCTCAGAGGAGCAGGACACCCTCATCTCTCCATGGGACAGACACTCAGAGGATAGCTGAGGAGAGGACACTGGGGCTGGTGGAGGAAGAAGAATAGACTGCTTTTAGCTAAATATGTAAGAAGTTCATAGACAGTGGGTAAAGACAGGAAATTGATGGTGACTAAATACGGAGCTTAGTTAACTGTGTTTTTTTTTTGTTTCAAAAGGTTCTTAAACCACCAAATTCTGTAGAATCTACTTCTGCATTTTAACAATGTACCTTGAATGAGTAGTTGTATTTCTCTTGCCCTTGACCTTTCAGATTTTGAGTGGAAGATATTCGGCAATCACTTGCAGTTGTTATCTTAACATTAACCATAGATAATCCTGATTTAAAAGATCCAAAAGATTTAGAAAAAAGTGATTCAGGCTGTCTTTGGGAAATTGTTTTAGTCAATATATCTTAATCACATGTGAGGTCATTTAAACCCCCCTAGAGTCTATTGACACACATTTGAGTCAATTTAAGTAACATAAAAAAAAAAAAACATCAAAATCCATAAGTTTAAGTTAGAGATATCTGTTTTTGTGCATGGGCAGCATCTCAATCCACCACATCTGCCAATGTCGGCCTTCCACATCTGCAGTGGAAGGTGGCCGAGCTACAGCGGTGTTTGTCAGACCATGAGACATCCAGAAAATCGGTCTTCTCACGAAAACCGGCTGTACCGTCTGAACGGTTTGGCCTACAAAACTAATATGACCACTCTAAGGAAAGATGAGACTCTCACAAACACGTCCGAAGTCAATAACGAACACGACGTTGTTCTCCGTTTTGCTCTACGACCCCCACAAATGTCACGGGACTCGTCTGAAGGTAACCGGTACCGGTTTTAAAAATGGATGGAAGTATGGAGGTAGTTTTGTGCCTACCCAAAACAAGGGGTTAAATATGTGTCAAAACAACAAAAATATTTCCTGAGCTTTCTTATATCTCCTAGATATATAGGACACTTCAAAAATGTATTCCTTATGATTGATTTTTTGACTTTATTTTTTGCCATTTCTTAATGTTTTATTCAATGTGAGATTTGGTAATATTGATCAAACATTTTTTGTATATATTTGTTATACCTAAAGGGGTCCTAAAATTCTAAATCAAATAGCTAAATGATCCATGGTATGACCATCTTAAAACAATTCCATATGTCAGTTTATGTCCCCCTCAACATCTTAGACTAGAGAATTTAATGTGAATATTTTTATAGATTCCCTCTTATCTTCCCTGAATTTATCTTCCCTCAATCTATTTTGTCTGAATCTATTTTCTTGATCTTCCCTCATTCTGTTGTGCGTAATTCCCTCAATGTATCTGGCCTCAGTCTATTTTCTTTATCTTCCCAAAGTCTATCTTCCCTCAATTTATCCTCCATCAGTTTATGTTCCCTGGGACTAGTTTTCAGATGGACAAGGAAAGTTCCTCCCAGAGTTCTGTAACATGGAGCTCCAGTGTAGCATTACAGTAGGTCTCCATGCCTGAGGATTGAGACAAAAATATGTATCCATCACAATTCTGACTTTTGCTGACTTTGCGCTTGCCTATTGATCAAGCAATGCATGAGAAACTAAGAGTTGGCCCAGTCTTTATATAGAGTGATGGTAACATTGCTGATATGGTTTTTCACTGTACTTTGCCGTTTTCTAATTTGAAAACTTTTGTACCTGTGTTGTTGTTCTTGAATTCAAGCTCATGTCCATTGGCGTTGATGATCATCTGGAGATAGACAGTTTCTCCCAGAGCTCCATAACACTGAGCTCCATCCTTTATAGCATCACAGGAGGTCTCCAATTCTGCAAAGAGAGAAAAAGGGCAGTTTTTAAGAAAATGACAACTTTCTCAACTGAACCTCTTTCATAATTTCACTTATTCACTTTGTGACCAAACTGATCATTTTACAAGCAATCATTGAACAAACTTACTTTGAAAATAAATATTGTTTATTACTGATTTTAGTGGTAAGTTGGAGGTACAATCCAAATGCACAGTTGAAGTCGGAAGTTTTCATACACTTAAAGTCATTAAAACTCGTTTTTCAACCACGGTTACTGATCTTGTGCTTGAGAATGGGTTTTCTTCTTGTAAAACCAGTATGATCCCAGACAGAATGTCAGTAGAATGAAGACTTCAAGAAGTTGGAAATGAACAAACACATTTACCCCTGGCCCTGTTAAAAAAGGGGGAGACAAATGAACAGCAAATTAATAAAATCTGTGAAAATGACAACATTAAACATACATTCACATGAGGTGATTTCCTGGTTGATGGTTTGATTGTTGATGTCATTTTTCAACGTGGGCCTACTGGCTGTTCTAGCCTCAACACACAGTGTATTGTCAGCTGCATTTACAGTTGAAGTCGGAAGTTTACATACACCTTAGCCAAATACATTTAAACTCAGTTTTTCACCATTCCTGACATTTAATCCTAGTAAAGTTTCACTGTCTTAGGTCAGTTAGGATCACCACTTTATTTTAAGAATGTGAAATGTCAGAATATTAGTAGAGAGAATGATTTATTTCAGCTTTTATTTCTTTCATCACATTCCCAGGGGGTCAGATGTTTACATACACTCAATTAGTATTTGGTAGCATTGCCTTTAAATTCTTCCACAAGCTTCCTCCTGACAGAGCTGGTGTAACTGAGTCAGGTTTGTAGGCCTCCTTGCTCGCTCGCACACGGTTTTTCAGTTCTGCCCACAAATGTTCTATAGGCTTGAGGTCAGGACTTTGTGATGGCCACTCCAATACCTTGACTTTGTTGTCCTTAAGCCATTTTGCCACAACTTTGGAAGTATGCTTGGGGTCATTGTCCATTTGGAAGACCCATTTGCGACCAAGATTTAACATCCTGACTGATGTCTTGAGATGTTGCTTCAATATATCCACATAATTTTTACTTCCTCATGATGCCATCTATTTTGTGAAGTGCACCAGTCCCTCATGCAGCAAAGCACCACCACAGCATGATGAAAGCAACCCCCTTTTTCCTCCAAACATAACGATGGTTATTATGGCCAAACAGTTCTATTTTTGTTTCATCAGACCAGAGGACATTTCTCCAAAAAGTACGATCTTTCTCCCCATGTGCAGTTGCAAACCGTAGTCTGGCTTTTTTATGGCGGTTTTGGAGCAGTGGCTTCTTCCTTTCTGAGCGGTCTTTCAGGTTATGTCGATATAGGACTCGTTTTACTGTGGATATAGATACTTTTGTACCTTTTTCCTCCAGCATCTTCACAAGATCCTTTGCTGTTGTTCTGGGATTGATTTGCACTTTTCGCACCAAAGTATGTTCATCTCTAGGAGATAGAAAGCGTTTCCTTCCTGAGCGGTATGATGGCTGCGTGGTCCCATGGTGTTTATACTTGCGTACTGTTGTTTATACAGATGAACGTGGTACCTTCAGGCGTTTGGAAATTGCTCCCAAGGATGAACCCACAACCCTGGCGTTGCAAACGCCATGCTCTACCAACTGAGCTACATCCCTGCCAGCCATTCCCTCCCCTACCCTGGACAACGCTGCGCCAATTGTGCGCCGCCCCATGGGTCTCCCGGTCGCGGCCGGCTACGACAGAGCCTGGATTTTCTGAGGTCTTGGCTGATTTCTTTTGATTTTCCCATGATGTCAAGCAAAGAGGCACTGAGTTTGAAGGTAGGCCAGGAAATACATCCACAGGAACATCTCAAATTGACTCAAATTATGTCAATTAGCCTATCAGAAGCTTCTAAAGCCATGACATAATTTTCTGGAATTTTCCAAGCTGTTTAAAGACACAGTCAATTTAGCGTATGTAAACGTCTGACCCACTGGATTTGTGATACAGTGAATTATAAGTGAAATAATCTGTCTGTAAACAATTGTTGGAAAAAATACTTGTGTCATGCACAAAGTAAATGTCCTAACCGACTTGCCAAAACTATAGTTTGTTAACTAGAAATTTGTGGAGTGGTTGAAAAACGAGTTTTAATGACTCCAACTTAAGTGTATGTAAACTTCCGACATCAACTATACCTACTGATATATTTATCTTGTTGGATAAGGTGCAGTTGACATACAGTGAGGTCAAAGTATTTGGACAGCATTTAGGATTTGAAATGATACAATGACTATGAGGTTAAAGTGCAGACTGACAGCTTTAATGTGAGGGTATTTACGTCCATATCGGGTGAATCGTTTAGAAATTACAGCACCTTTTGTACATAGTCCCTCCATTTTAGGGAACCAAAAGTATTTGGACAAATTCACTTACAGTGCATTAAGAATGTTTTCAGACATGATTTGGAACGGCACACACGTGTCTATATAAGGGCCAACAGTTGACAGTGCAAGTCAGAGCAAACACCAAGCCATGAGGTCGACGGAATTGGCCGTAGAGCTCTGAGACAGGATTGTGTCGTGGCACAGATCTGGGGAAGGGTACAAAAACATTTCAGCAGCATTGAAGGTCCCCCAGAACACAGAGGCCTCCATCATTCTTAAATGGAAGAAGTTTGGAACCACAAAGACTCTTCCGAAACCTGGCCGCCCGACCAAACTGAACAATCGGGGGAGAAGGGCCTTGGTCAGGGAGGTGACCAAGGACCCAATGGTCACTCTGACAGAGCTCCAGAGTTCCTCTGTGGAGTTGGGAGAACCTTCCAGAAGGACAACCATCTCTGCAAAACTCCACCAATCAGACCATTAAGGTAGAGTGGCCAGACAGAAGCCAGTCCTCAGTAAAAGGCACATGACAACCCGCTTCGAGTTTGCCAAAAGGCACCTAAAGGACTCTCAGACCATGAGAAACAAGATTCTCTGGTCTGATGAAACCAAGATTGAACTCTTTGGCCTTAATGCCAAGCGTTAAGTCTGGAGGAAACCTGGCCCATCCCTACGGTGAAGCAAGGTGGTGGCAGCAGCATGCTGTGTTGATGTTTTTCAGCAGCAGGGACTGGGAGACTCGTCATGATTAATGGAAAGATGAACGGAGCAGAGTACAGAGAGATCATTGATGAAAACCTGCTCCAGAGCACTCATTAAGCACACAGCCAAGACATTGTTGGAGTGTTTTCGGGAAAAGTCTCTGAATGTCCTTGATTGGCCCAGCCAGAGCCAGGACTTGAACCCTATCGACAATCTCTGGAGAGACCTGAAAATAGCTGTGTAGCAACGTTCCCCATCCGACCTGACAGAACTTCAGAGGATCTGCAGAGAAGAAATAGCGAAACTCCTCACACACAGGTGTGCCAAGCTTGTAGCGTCATACCCAAGAAGACTCAAGGCTGTAATCACTGCCAAAGGTGCTTCAACAAAGTACAGAGTAAAGTGTCTGAATACTTATGTAAATGTGATATTTCCGTTTTGTATAAACATTAATATATACATTTGCAAAAATATCTAAAAACCTGTTTTTGCTTTGTCATTATGGAGTATTGTGTGTATATTGAGGAGGGAAAAAACAATGTAATACATTTTAGAATAAGCTGTAACTTAACAAAATGACCAGTGGAAATATGTCCTTTGGACTGGAGTCCAAATTGGAGATTTTTTATTCCAACTACCGTGGCTTTGTGAGATGCGGTGTGGTTGAACTGATGATCTCCACATGTGTATTTCCCACTGTAAAGCATGGAGGAGAAGGTGTTATCATGTGGGGGTGCTTTGCTGGTGACGCTGTCTGTGATTTATTTAGAATTCAAGGCACACTTAACCAGCATGGCTACCACAGCATTCTGCAGTGATATGCCATCCCATCTGGTTTGGGCTTAGTGGGACTATCATTTGTTTTTCAACTGTTGCTGCATCAGATGACCTGGCCTCCACAATCCCCCGACCTCAACCCAATTGAGATGGTTTGGGATGAGTCGGACCGCAGAGTGAAGGAAAATCAGCCAACAAGTGTTCAGCATATGTGGGAAGTCCTTCAAGACTGTTGGAAAAACATTCCAGTTGAAGTTGGTTGAGAGAATGCCAAGAGTGTGCAAAGCTGTCATCAAGGCAAAGGGTGGCTATTTGAAGAATCTCAAATATAAAATATTTGTTTAACACTTTTTGGGTTACTACATGATTCCATATGTGTTATTTCATAGTTTTGATGTCTTCAATATTATTCTACAATGTAGAAAATAGCAAAAATAAAAAATTAACTTGAATGAGTAGGTGTTCTAAAACTTTTGACCGGTAGTGTTTAGATACAATTTAAATAAATTCATTAGGCCCTAATCTATTTATTTCACATTACTGGCCAGGGGTGCACCCACTGGGGAGCCAGACCCAGCCAATCAGAATGAGTTTTTCCCCAAAAAAGAGCTTTATTACAGAAATAAATTCTCCTCAGCACCCCACCCACCCTCCCTCAGATGATCCTGCAGGTGAAGAAGTCAGATGTGGAGGTCCTAGGCTGGCGTGGTTACACGTGGTCTGCGGATGTGAGGCCGGTTGGACATACTGCAAAAATCCTTCAAACAACGGTGGAGGCAGCTTATTGTAGAGAAATGAACATTCAATTCTCTGTCAACAGGTCTGGTGGACATTCCTGCAGTCAGCATGCCAATTGCACGCTCCCTCAAAGCTTGAGACATCTGTAGCATTCTGTTGTATGACAAAACTGCACATTTTAACGTGGCCTTTTATTGTCCCCAGCACAAGGTGAACCTGTGTAATTATCATGCTCTTTAATCAGCTTCTTGATATGCCACACCTGTCAGGTGGATTATCTTGGCAAAGGAGAAATGCTCACTAACAGTGATGTTAACGAATTTATGCACAACATTTGAGAAAAATAAGCTTTTTGACATATGTAAAATGTCTGGGATTTTTTATTTTCCGCTCATGAAGCATGGGACCAACACTTTACATGTTGCGTTTATATTTTTGTTCAGTGTATATATATTTATACTCCATACTATGTCAATGTTCATCCTAATATTTCAATATTTCTTAATTCCATTTTTTTACTTTTTAGATTTGTGTGTATTGTTTTGTATTGTTAGATATTACTGCACTGTTGGAGTTAGGAACACAAGCATTTTGCTACACCCGCAATAACATCTGCTAAATGTGTGTATTGTTAGGTTCTGAACAAACAGAGTAAAAACTGAAACATACAACTAGGAATAGCTAAAACCATGTTTCTTTACCCAGTGGGTCATACAGTTGCAAAAACAAAGCATGATTGGACAAGCACATATATTTATAACGTCCTACTTGACAGCCAACACATCTCTGTTGCTAGGCAGGAACTTAATTGATCCTCTCACTGGTGTAGTCATGGCCCTGCCTGGTGCTAGAACCTTTGTGGGTGTGGAAATGTATGTGTGTGAGATAGGACTGTAGTAGGAGAGTCGTTGTGGTGGTTCCCTCTGGCCCCCCTCCCAGTGGTTTCTTCTCACTTCATCTGATGACTTGACATCGAGCCTAATTCCTCGCTCCTCCCTAGTTCCGCAACTGGCATGCCTTGTCAAGAACTGAAACTAGACTTACACAACAAAACCCTTATTAATATTAAGATCTGTATTAATTTAAAGCCTGCAACCATTGACTCACAATGTGGGTTTCCACTGTGTATAAAAAAAATATTCACTCTAGCTATGTATGGTGTTTGTAGGTAGCTATGTTCTACAGGAAAGGAAGTGTTTAAACAAATTCACTTTCATTTCACAGTGTCAGTAATGATTATTTTAGAACATTTCTAAAGGTTCAACAGTGACAAGAAGAAGGGAAGTGTCTTTATGTTACAGGTCCTCTTTTAAAAAGCCTTCCCAATCTCATACATTTCTATGACTGCACTATATCACAAGTGGCATAAAACAAAACACTGCAATGCAATGTACAATCATTTACAATTCTAAATGATAATTAAAGCTTAATTAAAGGTTAAAATAACGATATCAAATATGTTCAACTGTAAGCAGTATTACATCATCATTAGCAGTTATGTCATAATGTAATCCCACTGTGATCCACACTGTGACCATCATCTGGAGAGAGAGAGAGAGAGAGAGAGAGAGAGAGAGAGAGAGAGAGAGAGAGAGAGAGAGAGAGAGAGAGCAAGCATTAAACAGAATAAAATGAGAAACGTAGACCTTAATTAAAAAGGTACAATGCACGGTTACCGATTTTGTGCTTGAGAACGGGTTTTCTTCTTGTAAAACCAGTATGATCCCAGACAGACTGTCAGCAGAATGAAGACTTCAAGAAGTTGGAAATGAACAATCACATTTACCCCTGGCCCTGTTCAAAAAAGGGAAGACGAATGAACAGAAAATTAATATAATCTGTGAAAATGACAACATTAAACATACATTCACATGAGGTGATTTCCTGGTTGATGGTTTGATTGTTGATGTCATTTTTCAACGTGGGCCTACTGGCTGTTCCAGCCTCAACACCCTGTATTGTCAGCTGCATTTACCTACTGATATATTTATCTCATTGGATAAGGTGCAGTTGACATACAGTGAGGTCAAAAAGTATTTGGACAGCACTTAGGATTTGAAATGATACAATGACTATGAAGTTAAAGTGCAGACTGACAGCTCTAATGTGAGGGTATTTACAGTACGTCCATATCGGGTGAATCATTTAGAAATTACAGCACTTTTTGTACATAGTCCCTCCATTTTAGGGAACCAAAAGTATTTGGACAAATTCACTTACAGTGCATTAAGAAAGTATTCAGACGCCTTCACTTTTCCATATTTTGTGACGTTACAGCCTTATTCTAAAAAAAAAGTACATATTCTTTTCCCCCTCATCAATCGATACAAAATACCCCATCATGGAAAAGCAAAAACAGGTTTTTAGAATTTTTTTTGCAAATGTATAAAAAATAAAACACCGAAATACCTTATTTACATAAGTATTCAGACACTTTGCTATGAGACTAGAAATTGAGCTCAGGTGCATCCTGTTTCCATTGATCATTCTTGAGATGTTTCTACAACGTGATTGGAGTCCACCTGTGGTAAATTCAATTGATTGGACATGATTTGGAATGGTACACACGTGTCTATATAAGGGCCAACAGTTGACAGTGCATGTCAGAGCAAACACCAAGCCTTGAGGTCGACGGAATTGGCCGTAGAGCTCTGAGACAGGATTGTGTCGCGGAACAGATCTGGGGAAGGGTACAAAAACATTTCAGCAGCATTGAAGGTCCCCCAGAACACAGTGGCCTCCATCATTCTTAAATGGAAGAAGTTTGGAACCACCAAGACTCTTCCAAGAGCTGGCTGCCCGCTCAAACTGAACAATCGAAGGAGAAGGGCCATGGTCAGGGAGGTGACCAAGAACCCGATGGTCACTCTGACAGAGCTCCAGAGTTCCTCTGTGGAGATGGGAGAACCTTCCAGAAGGACAACCATCTCTGCAGCACTCCACCAATCAAGCCTTTATGGTAGAGTGGCCAGACAGAAGCCAGTCCTCAGTAAAAGGCACATGACAGCCCGCTTCGATTTGCCAAAAGGCACCTAAAGGACTCTCAGACCATGAGAAACAAGATTCTCTGGTCTGATAAACCAAGATTGAACTCTTTGGCTTGAATGCCAAGCGTTAAGTCTGGAGGAAACCTGGCACCATCCCTACGGTGAAACAAGGTGGTGGCAGCAGCATGCTGTGTTGATTTTTTTCAGCAGCAGGGACTGGGTGACTCGTCATGATTGATGGAAAGATGAATTAAGCAAAGTACAGAGAGATACTTGATGAAAGCCTGCTCCAGAGCACTCAGGACCTCAGACTGGGGCAATGGTTCACCTTCCAACAGTACAATGACCTTAAGCACACAGACAAGACAATGTTGGAGTGGTTTCGGGAAAAGTCTCTGAATGTCCTTGATTGGCCCAGCCAGAGCCCGGACTTGAACCCTATTGACAATCTCTGGAGAGACCTGAAAATAGCTGTGTAGCAACGTTCCCCATCCGACCTGACAGAACTTCAGAGGATCTGCAGAGAAGAAAGAGCGAAACTCCTCAAACACAGGTGTGCCAAGCTTGTAGTGTCATACCCAAGAAGACTCAAAAAATCACTGCCAAAGGTGCTTCAACAAAGTACAGAGCAAAGTGTCTGAATACTTATGTAAATGTGATATTTCCGTTTTGTATAAATATTAATACATACATTTGCAAAAATATCTAAAAACCTGTTTTTGCTTTGTCATTATGGAGTATTGTGTGCATATTGAGGAGGGAAAAAACAATGTAATACATTTTAGAATAAGCTGTAACTTAACAAAATGACCAGTGGAAATATGTCCTTTGGACTGGAGTCCAAATTGGAGATTTTTTATTCCAACTACCGTGGCTTTGTGAGATGCGGTGTGGTTGAACTGATGATCTCCACATGTGTATTTCCCACTGTAAAGCATGGAGGAGAAGGTGTTATCATGTGGGGGTGCTTTGCTGGTGACGCTGTCTGTGATTTATTTAGAATTCAAGGCACACTTAACCAGCATGGCTACCACAGCATTCTGCAGTGATATGCCATCCCATCTGGTTTGGGCTTAGTGGGACTATCATTTGTTTTTCAACTGTTGCTGCATCAGATGACCTGGCCTCCACAATCCCCCGACCTCAACCCAATTGAGATGGTTTGGGATGAGTCGGACCGCAGAGTGAAGGAAAAGCAGCCAACAAGTGTTCAGCATATGTGGGAAGTCCTTCAAGACTGTTGGAAAAACATTCCAGGTGAAGTTGGTTGAGAGAATGCCAAGAGTGTGCAAAGCTGTCATCAAGGCAAAGGGTGGCTATTTGAAGAATCTCAAATATAAAATATTTGTTTAACACTTTTTGGGTTACTACATGATTCCATATGTGTTATTTCATAGTTTTGATGTCTTCAATATTATTCTACAATGTAGAAAATAGCAAAAATAAAAAATTAACTTGAATGAGTAGGTGTTCTAAAACTTTTGACTGGTAGTGTTTAGATACAATTTAAATAAATTCATTAGGCCCTAATCTATTTATTTCACATTACTGGCCAGGGGTGCACCCACTGGGGAGCCAGACCCAGCCAATCAGAATGAGTTTTTCCCCAAAAAAGAGCTTTATTACAGAAATAAATTCTCCTCAGCACCCCACCCGCCCTCCCTCAGATGATCCTGCAGGTGAAGAAGTCAGATGTGGAGGTCCTAGGCTGGCGTGGTTACACGTGGTCTGCGGTTGTGAGGCCGGTTGGACATACTGCAAAAATCCTTCAAACAACGGTGGAGGCAGCTTATTGTAGAGAAATGAACATTCAATTCTCTGTCAACAGGTCTGGTGGACATTCCTGCAGTCAGCATGCCAATTGCATGCTCCCTCAAAGCTTGAGACATCTGTAGCATTCTGTTGTGTGACAAAACTGCAAATTTTAACGTGGCCTTTTATTGTCCCCAGCACAGGGTGAACCTGTGTAATGATAATGCTGTTTAATCAGCTTCTTGATATGCCCACCTCTCAGGTGGATGGATTATCTTGGCAAAGGAGAAATGCTCACTAACAGCAATGTAAACAAATTTATGCACAACATTTGAGAAAAATACGTTTTTTATGTGTACTGTATGTATAATGCCTGGGATTTTTTATTTCCGCTCATGAAACATGGGACCAACACTTTACATGTTGCATTTATATTTTTGTTCAGTGTATATATATTTATACTGACTCCGCCAATGTTTATCCTAATATTTCAATATTTCTTAATTCAATTTTTTTACTTTTTAGATTTGTGTGTATTGTTTTGTATTGTTAGATATTACTGCACTGTTGGAGTTAGGAACACAAGCATTTTGCTACACCCGCAATAACATCTACTAAATATGTGTATTGTTAGGTTCTGAACAAACAGAGTAAAAATTGAAACGGACAACTAGGAATAGCTAAAACCATGTTTATTCGCCTAGTGTGTCATACAGTTTCAAATACAAAGCATGATTGGACAAGCACATATATTTATAACGTCCTACTCGACTGCCAATACATTTCTGTTGCTAGGCAGGAACTTAATTGATCCTCTCACTGGTGTAGTCATGGCCCTGCCTGGTGCTAGAACCTTCGTGGGCATGGAAATGTATGTGTGTGAGATAGGACTGTAGTAGGAGAGTCGTTGTGGTGGGCCCCTCTGGCCCCCCTCCCAGAGGTTTCTTCTCACTTCATCTGTTGACTTGACCTCGAGCCAAATTCCTCACTCCTCCCTAGTTCCACAGCTGGCATGCCTTATCAAGAACTGAAACTAGACTGTTGCCCTTTGCCTCCCTCCTTAGAAACAGAATATGAACTTTCTGCGCTTGCCCTTGTCTCACTCAATAACTTTACACACACCAAATTCCTATCAACCCTTAATTGACCCCAACATATACAGTCCTTATACATGTAAAGTAATTAATAAGTGATAGTATGATAACATTAATAAGTATATTTCTAGCTAGAATCCAACCGTATGCAACCAATAACATTCGATTTTATATGGACTGTGTTTATTACTGCTCATTATTGTAGTATCAGAGAAGACAGGCACAACTTTTGCTTGTTTTTAAAAAACAGGATTGTATTTTCAAATTGCAATTTCCCATCACACAGCGGCATTCACAATGAAGCATGACAAGTGATTCCACTGCATATTACTCAACATTACATTATGTCATCAACACTTTGTTAGCAACATCATTATCTTTATTTCTCAACATCCTCTTCTCAATTTGTTATTTTAGCTTAATTTATTTTGATTGAGACTGACATATGGTGAAATTATATAAGCTTTACTTTAAGTTAATCAGAGGAGCTAACCAAATATGGAAATCATGTGACTCAAACAGGAAATACATCAGCAACTTTAACCCCCCCCCCAAAAAAAAAAAACCAGAGATGTTGAAAGGTTCAGGGGAAGAAAAAAATATATTCTGATGCCGTGAAAAGATATGGCAATGTATCTCAGAATTGTTTTACAACATAAACTTATTATTAAACTTGTTCAAAAGATTAATAACAATCGCTAAAAATAGAATATTCAGTTATTTGCTGTACAGGTACTGTAAATGATGATTATTATTATTATTATTAAGGTTATGGTCTTCTGAGATACAAACAGGTATACAACAAAGCAGATAACTATACAATTACAGCGCCTTCAGAAAGTATTCATACCCCTTGACTTATTCCACACTTTGTTGTGTTACAGCCTGAATTCAAAATACATTAAATCATGTTTTTTTCTCTCTCACTCATCTACCCCAATATATGTTTTTAGAAATTGTTGCACATTTTTGAAAATGCAATACAGAAATATTTAATTTATTATTCACACTCCTGTAGTCACACCCCTGTCAATACATGTTAGAATCACCTTTGGCAGTGATTACAGCTGTGAGTCTTTCTGATTAAGTCTCTAAGAGCTTTGCACACCTGGATTGGATAATATTTGCACATTATTATTTTAAAATTTAAAAATTCTTCAAGCTCTGTAAAGGTGGTTGTTGATCATTGCTAGACAGCCTTTTCAAGTGTTGCCGTAGATTTTCAATCCAATTTAAGTTAAAACAGTAACTAGGCCACTCAGGAACATTCTTATAAAGCAACTGCAGTGTATATTTGGCCTTGTGTTTTAGGTTATTGTCCTGCTGAAAGGTGAATTTGTCTCCCAGTTTATGTTGGAAAGCAGACAGAACCAGGTTTTTCTCTACGAATTTGCCTGTGCTTAGCTCTATTCCGTTAATTCTTATCCTAAAAAAAAAACTTCCTAATCCTTGCCGTTGACAAACGTACCCATGACATGATGCAGCCACCAACCATGCTTGAAAATATTAAGAGCTGTACTCAGTGATGTGTTGTGTTGGATTTGCCCCAAACATAACACTTTGTATTCAGGATATAAAGTTAATTTCTTTGCCACTTGTTTTGCTGTTTTACTATAGTGCCTTATTGCAAACAGGATGCATGTTTTGGAATAGTTGTGTTCTGTACAGGCTTCTTTCTTTTCACTGTCATGTAGGTTAGTATTGTGGAGTAACTACAATGTTGTTGAGCCATCCTCAGTTTACTCCTATCACAGCCATTAAACTCCTTAACTGTTTTAAAGTCACCATTGCTCTCATGGTAAAATCCCTGAGTAGTTTCCTTCCTCTCTGTTAACTGAGTTAGGAAGGACACCTGTATATTTGTAGTGACTGGGTGTAGTGATACACCATCCAAAGTGTAATTAATAACTTCAACATGCTCAAAAGGATATTCAATGTCTGTTTGTTTTTTTTACTATCTACCAATAGCTGCCCTTCTTTGCGAGGCATTGGAAAACATCCCTGGTCTTTGTGATTTAATCTGTGTGTGAAATTCACTGCTCGACTGAGGGACCCATGCAGATAATTGTATGTTTGGGGTACATTGATGAGGTAATCATAAAAAAATTATGTTAAACTCTGTTATTGCTCACAGACTTAGTTCATGCAACTTATTATGTGACTTGATAAGCAAATTTGTCATTAATTTGTAAACATTTCTAAAACTTAATTCCACTTTGACATTATTGGGTATTGTGTGTTGGCCAGTGACACAAAATCTCAATTTAATCCATGTTAAATTCAGGCTGTAACAACAAAATGTGGAAAAAGTCGAGGGGTGCGAATACTTTCTGAAGGCACTGTAAGCACCGAAAGTAAATAAAATTAGAAAAAATAAAAGGAAAAATAAGTCATCACATTTATCATATATTTGGTTGCTTCGAGACTAATTGGTCTTATGTCTACAAAATGTTATTTACAAGGAGCGGTTCCCATCTTTTTTTCACATATATCTGTTTGCAATTTTATTTTCCATTAAATACATTTCTTTCACTCTACAATTCCACTCTTCCATAGTATGAATGTCCTTATTTAACCAATGTGCTGTAATACATTTATTTGCTGCAGACAATAGTATATTCAATAGATAGTCATTTCGAAACCGTTCAGGGATTACTTTTTGCGTCCTTTGCCAGGGAGCATTTAAATACATTGTTTGCAAAGTCAAAAACATAATTCCAGAAGTTAATTATTCTAGAACAAAATCCAAAAATATGTAGGTAGTTTGCGAACAATTCCCCACATTTTCTCCAGTATTCACTGGTTGTTTCTTTTCTTATCTTCACCATTGTGTCTGGAGTTAGAAAGTACCTACTGGTGATTTTCCATTGATAATGGTAGGAGTATTGCCTCCCAAGATCATTTTCAATGTTCTCCCCATGTTCAGATTCCCACTTGCACTTAGTTTGCAGAGTATTGCTCTATGTCATGACAGCAACAGATTAGTATATTTTTGATTCATGATTTCACTTGGTTGTTCTTTAAGACTTGGTGTACATATTGCAAATAAAGTAATGACCATCTTTGAAAACCTGAATGTAGTCATAATGGGACGAAATTTGTAAGATATGCAATACCAGTTAGGGATGATATGCCCATAGGCAGATGGAAACTGCATTGTACATTCCTCCAAATCAACCTCCTTCTATCATATTGAATCTAGACAGTACCTATCTCACTGGCCTTTCCGTACCCTGGCGTACACACAGTCCTCCTCTTCAGGTGTGTCTACCTTCCGGAGACCCTCTAATATTTCAATCTGTCCATAGTCCACCTCCATTGGCTGCAGGGGACCCCCCGCCACTTTCAAATGTCCGTACTCCACTTTTCTTTCCTGCTGTCTCATCTGATTCTTCAGTGTCCTGACATCAGCGTATTCCACATCCTGACTGTTAACATTAACTGTGTAGAGAGAGAGAGAGAGAGAGAGAGAGAGAGAGAGAGAGAGAGAGAGAGAGAGAGAGAGAGAGAGAGAGAGAGAGAGAGAGAGAGAGAGAGAGAGAGAGAGAGAGAGAGAGAGAGAGAGAGAGAGAGAGAGAGAGAGAGAGACAGCAAGAGAGGGAGAGCTAGACCAAGAGTGAGTCAGATTTCCTCTTAATATTTCACTGGCAAGACTGACATGGACAATTGTAGTACTTGAGAAAATTGAAGAGCTACAGCTAAATATCCTCTAACCTGGAGTCTTTGGAGGTTTATTTTTCTTCTGGACACAGTAAACTGCCAACACCATCACTAGGACAAGGACTATGCCTGTCAGAGACCCTGTTACGATCCCTATGATGTCTGGGTAAAAGAGAGGAAACAGAGACAGAACAACATATAAGCATGAAGGTTGTTTCATTGTAGCATGAAGGTTGTTTCATTGCCACCACTGTTACTACATAAAAGGTCATGAAATCCATCATTAGTATTAATGATAATATTGATAACTAGACATTAAATTGTGGGACTTCCTTTAGCTCTTTAAATGTATATTTGTGGTAGTGGAAAAAGTGTTCTGATTTTAGATTTGAAAAGCAGAGAAGTAGATTAAGATGTCATACCCTCTAAGTTTTTGGCTAACCTGTCGGGAAAGTGGTCAAAATGTTTCTTGTTTGTAAAAGTTGACAGAACATGTAGTTTATGTGATTACTATAACAGCTGTATCATTTGATCGGTAGAAGATCATTATGTTCTGATTTCAGATTTGAATAGCAGAGAAGTAGACTGAGCTGTGATATGCTCAGATTTTTATTTTACCTTGATGGATAAGTGGTCAAAATGTAAGTTGCTTGTAAAAGCTGAAAGGAAATGTAGCTGATGCGGTTTCCAAAACAGCTGTATCATTTGATCGGCAGAAGATAACTCTGTTCTGATTTCAAATTTGAAAGGCACAGAAACAAACTTAGATTTCATTAGATTTCTAAGTTTATTGTCTAAGTTGTTGGGAAAGTGTTTAAAGTAGCTGATTTACGTCAAAAGTTATATTGTTGTCCTCTGTAGCTCAATTGGTAGATCATGGTGCTTGTAACGCCAGGGTAGTGGGTTCGGTCCCCGGGACCACCTATACGTAAAAATGTATGAACACATGACTGTAAGTCGCTTTGGATAAAAGCGTCTGCTAAATGGCTTATTATTATTATAGTTTAGAGTGAATAGAATAGAATTTTGGAAGTCATGATGTCACAATGGGCCTTTTAGAATGTTGAGGAAATCCCATTAAAGTGGCTGGAGTAAAAAAAAAAAGAACGAAAAATAGCATTCCAAGGAATTATAATAAGTCAGAAGTATGACAAAGATTTAGAGTGGGACGATTTAGAGTGGAGGTCACTATGGTTTCAAACCCCTTGCCGTTGGTTGTCTCTGTTTTACTGGTGGAGGCCTTTGTCACAGTTGTGTGTGCCACTACTGTAGGGTCAATACACAGGGTATTACCAGCGGCAATCACCCACTCTGATATCTTTGTCCCATTGGAAGTGCAGTTAACATACATAAGCCCTGCAAGTAATCAAATAAACAGAAATCGTATATATATCTGAATGTAATACTGGAAAATGGATAGTGCTTTCTAAACAGGTCAAAGTCCATTGATAAAGATTCATCATCATTATAATCATCATCATAATTATCGTTAATCAATGATATTATTTTACATGATATGTCTCTTTAACAAATGTAATTAAACAGTAGCTTACCCTCACAGGGGGAGATGATTTTGCTCACAGTGACACTGTTGATTTTGTTTTTGACGGTACAAGTGAGATCTCCAGACAGGCCTTTCTTCAGTGTGATGGTGTTTGTCTCGTCACCAGGAGAGGCCTCAGTGTCTCTCTGTGTGTGTCCATCCAGAGTCCAGCTATACTGAGGACCATCCCCCTCAGAGGAGCAGGTCACCCTCATCTCTCCATGGGTCAGACACTGAGAGGACAGCTGAGGAGAGGACACTGGGGCTGTGGAGGAAGAAGAATAGGCATCTGTAGACATTTGCAGACATTCGCATAAACACATTAGAAAACAACACTTCTTCTAGAAGTAGAAGGCCACAGAAGCTACTGTAGTCAACTTATAGTTAGTAATAAGGATTTGTCAAGATGAGATTTTTAAAGGGTTAGCTAATTACTGTACCTTCAATAAACAGCTGTAGTCCTCTGGTCCCTAATGTTTTCCCATCTGAATTAAATGTTTCTAGTCTATATTCAGCAGAATCACTTCTTTCTGTGTTATCTATCCTAAATGTTCCGTTGTTGAAAAAGAAGTGTGCTCTGGTTTCAATGGATTTGTCGATTTTTACTTTTTTATAAGTTTTGTTTCTAATTTGGAGTATATTTCTAGTAAAACCAGTGGAGTTGGTTTTTAATAATATGTCAGGGGCTTTACTGTCAATGGTCATCAGCTGGAGAGAGACAGTTCCTCCCAGAGCTCCATAACACTGAGCTCCATCCAGTGTTGCATCACAGTGGGTCTCCATTCCTGAAAATCAAGAGGAATATAGATACTGTAGTGACTATCACTGTCCTAGTTTTGAGGTATAATTTTATGGATGAGAATACAAACAAGCAACAGTATAACCAGAGAGTAATGGCGCCGGAGGGGATGGCTACCGTTTTACAGGCTCCTAACCAACTGTGCTATTTTGTTGTTGTTTTTTTGCATTGTTTGTAACCTATTTTGTACATAATTTTGCTGCTACCGTCTCTTATGACCGAAAAGAGCTGCTGGACATCAGAAAAGCGATCGCTCACCTCGAACTGGACGAAGATTTTTTCTTTAATGAGTCCGACGCGAAGGATATACTGCTTCCCCGAGACTAGGCCCAAATCCCTGTCAATCGCGTGAAGAAAAGACGGAAATGCAGCGGTCGGAGGTCGAGGTGCCTTGTGAGAATTTTTTGCCGAGTGAGTAAACCGCCTCTACTATCCGTTCTATTGGCCAACGTGCAATCACTGGAAAATAAACTGGATGATCTACGATCAAGACTATCCTACCAACGGGATATTAAAAACTGTAATATCTTATGGTTCACCGAGTCGTAGCTGAACGACGACACGGATAATATAGAGCTGGCTGGGTTTTCCGTGCATAGGCAGGACAGAGCAGCTACGTCTGGTAAGACAAAGGGTGGGGGTGTGTGTCTATTTGTCAATAACAGCTGGTGCGCGATGTCTAATATTAAAGAAGTCTCGAGGTATTACTCGCCTGAGGTAGAGTAAATCATGATAAGCTGAACACCACACTATCTACCAAGAGAGTTGTTGTCTATATTATTTGTAGCCGTCTATTTACCACCACAAACCGATGCTGGCACTAAGACCGCACTCAACGATCTGTATAAGGCAATAAGCAAAGAAGAAAATACTCATCCAGAAGCGGCGCTCCTAGTGGCCGGGGACTTTAATGCAGGCAATCTTAATCCGTTTTACCTCATTTCTACCAGCATGTCACATGTGCAACCAGAGGAAAAAAATCTCTAGACCACCTTTACTCCACACACAGAGACGCATACAAAGCTCTCCCTCGCCCTCCAATTTTGGAAAATCTGACCATAATTCTATCCTCCTGAATCCTGCTTATAAGCAAAAACTAAAGCAGGAAGTACCAGTGACTCGCTCAATACGGAAGTGGTCAGATGACGCGGATGCTATGCTAAAGGACTGTTTTGCTTGCACAGACTGGAATATGTTCCGGGATTCATCCAATGGCATTGAGGAGTATACCACATCAGTCACCGGCTTCATCAATAAATGCATCGACGACGTCATCCCCACAGTGACCGTACGTACATATCCCAATCAGAAGCCATGGATTACAGGCAACATCCTCAACAAGCTAAAGGCTAGAGCTACCGCTTTCACTAATCCGGACGATTATAAGAATTCCCGCTATGCCCTCAGATGAACCATCAAAAAGGCAAAGCGTCAATACAGGACTAAGATTGAATCCTACTACACTGGCTCTGACGCTCGTCGATGTGGCTGTGCTTGCAAACTACTACGGACTACAAAGGGAAACTCAGCCGTGAGCTTCACAGTGACGCGAGCCTACCAGACGATCTAAATGCCTTTAATGCTCGTTTCGAGGCAAGTAACACTGAAGCATTCATGAGAGCACCAGCTGTTCCAGATGATTGTGTGATCACGCTCTCCATAGCCGATGTGAGCAAGACCTTTAAACAGGTCAACATTCAAAAGGCCGCTGGGCCAGATGGATTACCAGGACGTGTACTCAGAGCATGTGCGGACCAACTGGCAAGTGTCTTCACTGACATTTTCAAACTCTCCCTGACCGAGTCTGTAATACCTACATGTTTCAAGCAGACCACCATAGTCCCTGTGCCCAAGAAAGCGAAGGTAACCTGCCTAAATGACTACAGCCCGGTAGCACTCACGTCAGTAGCCATGAAGTGCTTTGAAAGGCTCACATCAACACCATCATCTAGGAAACACTAGACCCACTCCAATTCGCATACCGCCCCAACATATCCACAGATGACGCAATCTCAATCGCACTCCACACTGCCCTTTCCCACCTGGACAAAAGGAACACCTACGTGAGAATGCTGTTCATTGACTACAGCTCAGCGTTCAACACCATAGTGCCTACAAAGCTCATCACTAAGCTAAGGACCCTGGGACTAAACACCTCCCTCTACAACTGGATCCTGGACTTCCTGATGGGTCACCCCCAGGTGGTAAGGGTAGGCAACAACACATCTGCCATGCTGATCCTCAATACCTGGGCCCCTCAGGGGTGTGTTCTTAGGCCCCTTCTGTACTCCCTGTTCACCCACAACTGCGTGGCCAAGCACGACTCCAACACCATCATTACGTTTGCTGACGACACAACCAGAACGCCACGTCTAGGTCCGAACGATTCCTCAACAGCTTCTACCCCCAAGCCATAAGACTGCTGAACAATTAATCAAATGGCCATACGGACTATTTACGTTGACCCTCCCCCCTCCTTTGTTTTTACACTGCTGCTACTCACTGTTTATTATCTATGCATAGTCACTTTACCCCTACCTACATGTACAAATTACCTCGACTAACCTAGCACACATTGACTCGGTACGGGTACCACCTGTATATAGCCTCGTTAATGTTATTTTACTGTGTTACTTTTTATTTTATTTTAAACTTTTATTTAGTAAATATTTTCTTAACCTTATTTCTTGAACTGCATTGTTGGTTAAGGACTTGTAAGTAAGCATTTCACGGTAAGTTATACACCTGTTGTATTCGGCGCATGTGACAAATAAATTTGATTTGATTTGATTTGATAAACAAACCAATGACATCAAGGTACTTGGCAACATAACAGTACCTCAGTCAGTTATAATTATCACAAGACAATGAATAACGAGACAACTGTCTTTTTCAGTCTTTTGAATATTGTCTCTGTATCTATCATTAGTCATTATAAGAGGGATTCATTTGACAAAAGGGATTCTAAATAGCCTATAGTATACCACAAATAGCTTTGATCAAGTGGTTCACTTTCTATATGATATAAACTGGGCTCCTTATATCATGTGTAAAACAAGAGGGAAATCGACACATAAAGAAACTTCTTACCATGTGACACTCCTGCTAACATCACCAACAGTCCAAACAGAGACTTCATGTCTCTTCGCACAGGGCTCAAGTTAGCAAATTAAGCTATACTGTACTGTAACAAAATCCTCTATTTTCCATTCAGTGCTGAATTTCCATAAACTCACAATTTACAACATAAACAAAACCTATGCAAATGTGGTATGAAAGACACTCCAGCTGTCCTTGTCACTCAGTAGAATTCACTTAGTTTGTGACAAGCAAAAGAGATGTAAAATTTTTACCTCACCCTATTAAAAGATTTTGACTCAGAGGAAAGAGGAAGAACCTCAAAGTTTAACTTGTTCGTTACATGTCTATTGATGTGTAATCTCAGATAAGAGGCTACACTCTTAGAAAAAAGGTTCTAACTACCTAAAAGGGTTCTTCGACTGTCCCCTTTCCACAGAGGGTTCTACATTTAACCCAGAAGGCTTTTACCTCTAAGAGTGTACTTTTGAATGTAAAGAAATGTTTGCGCCTGAGAAAATGACCTCGTTCATTTTGTAAGGGCAGTGGTCAGCTCTAACACACAAGCTGTTCATCACTGACATGAACACATCACCTTCAGTAGGCACTTTCAGTCCATTTAAGATTGTGAAAAAAAATTTAAAAGAGAGAGAGAGAGAGAGAGAGAGAGAGAGAGAGAGAGAGAGAGAGAGAGAGAGAGAGAGAGAGAGAGAGAGAGAGAGAGAGAGAGAGAGAGAGAGAGAAATTAATTTGAGAGGAGAGGTGAGAGAAATAAAAAGTGAAATACATAGGACCAACAGACCAAATTCCAATGTTTCCCAAATGGTGGATTGTGACTCCTTGACAGCATTGATTAGTTGTAAGTGATTCATTTTGGGTTGCAGCTAGACAGAATAACAATACATCATAATGGACTGCATTTACATAGCACTTTCTGGGAGCTCAAACGGTTTGTTTATTAGATGCAAAATAAGACGTGATTCAGAAAAAAGTGAAGGGAACCAAAAAAGGAGCCATTCTTCCATAGAGGACACACTAGGGGGCCATCCTCTCGATCACAATCTTCTGTAGTGAATGACAACTTTTACAACTGTGCAAAAACATTGTATGGTTGTACGTTGAGAGAGTTTGTAAAAAATAAAATAAAAAAAAATAAAAAATAAAAAAAAACATTAAATCAGTAACAGAGAGACTATGACAAATAGTAGACAGTCCACTTGTTTATTCTTTTTTTGGGTAAAGAACGTACAAAACCCTCAGCAGTGAATGTCATGAAATATAAACAGTAATATGGGAAAGTTAATACAATTCGTTACAGTAACAAATGGAGCAACAAGGGTTCAGTACCACTTCTAAAGACCAACCCTTCAAACATGGAGCTCAAGAACCTCTCTCATTGGCCAAGCTGTATTCCAGCATACAGTCTCCTCCTGTCCCTCAGGTCTATCTCTCTCAGTGTTTGGTCTGGCCCCCTCCAGCACTACAATCTGTCCATACACCACCTCCTCTGGAACTTCCCTCTGTTTCTCCCTCTTCTTTCAAATAGTGATGTCAGCATATTCCAGTTCCGGACTCTCATCAGCATCTGTGTGGAGATGTTTGGGGAAAAAATGGTAGGCTACTGCACAGATCACCTTGACAATTAACATTTGAAGTATGTAAACAGTCTACATAAGCTCTAATGTTGATTTGCAGAGTTAGAAATAGCATCCATTCACCTCCTTCACATGCACGAAACTGTAGATCTGGAAATAGGCCTATCGAAATGTATCTAGGCCTACACTAATGCAAAGTAGAAACATAATAAACAAGTGAGTTACAACACTGAAGCAAGAGTCACATGAGCTGACTGAGTGTTGTAACCATCAGTGTTGATAGTCAACTTTGACTTTTGTTAGATGTGTTAGA